CATTTAGTGTGTGCTCATGCAGCCGACGCAGATATTCGCCCCTTGGCCTGTTCATGCAACACCGGGTCATCCATGTCAGATCAGAAAAATACGAGAAGATGGTCGAACACCAGATTGGCAACTTAGAAAGTGCTACATCTTACATTTCAAGCGACTCCTTGCAGCATCAGCAAGGGCAAATGATCTTGGTTATTGTAAAATAGTCGGCACTATTTGGCGATCCTTCATGCTCCTTATTCGCCTCTCAGGTCATCTTCGTTGCCCTGGTACAATTCTCACCGCCATTCTGTTCCAACTCTCATAAATGGACCATTAAGCTCGACAATTGACTATCCGTTGCTTCAACAATATCCGCGTGTCTACACACTTCTTAATCAGAACTGTTCACTTCGAAGTCTTTGAAAATCAGTTATGGCCAGGGTAAAATACTATGCAGTGTCCCGAGGGCGTTCTCCGGCTCCTGGAATATTTTTGTCCTGGTAAGTAATATGTATAAAAAGACTGGGAGACTCTTTTGACTAAACGAGGATAGGGGCGTTGTCGAACCCTTGATCAAAGGTTATTCTGGAAATGAACAAACATCGTTTCCAACCCTAGAGCAGGCTGTCAATCATCTTGCCGAACATGGTGTTCCTGAAGGTCAGCGAGTGATTGTGGTCCCCACGGATTCACAAGTCCTGGATAATGCTTCCTCTTCAGCCACCGCGTGAGACGGAGCACCGCTGAAAAAAAATCTTTTTGATGGATGTTATCAGATGGCTGAATAAGTTCTTAATTTGGATGGCTGCTTTTGAGTATACCAGGACTAGAATTGAGGTCAGGCGGTACGCAGAGGTTGTCAGACAAAGAGGTTTTTCCCTGTTGCTTTTTAGGCGAAGTTTTAGTAGATAGAGTATCTCAAATGGGTTAAATAAGAAATTGCTGTAAAGGACGGCCCCATGGAAATCCGAAAAGCAGAATGCCGATTTACGAAAAACAGGGTTGCACAATATTTTGGCCTTTGGGTCCTGTCAATTACATGTATGGTCAAAACAAGGAGTGATTGACAGATAGGAGTTGTCTTCTACAGGGGCGGGATGTCTCATATGTATCTGTTCCTAATCTCTATCCCTGCCATCAGATTCAGCCACCGTGATACTCAACGAGGAAACCCACTGGCGTTATTTGTTTCATTGAACACCTCTTGCTTCCTAGTTCCCAAGGCATCAACTGCACAATCAGTTCCAATGAACCCCTTGATTTGGGCTCTTAGTATTATATAGAAATACAATTTCAAGTACTGTGTAATAGCCTCTTTGGTTTATTCTGGTACTAGACTCAAGCATGGTTTCCAGTTCTCCGCGTCGGTCACGTTAAAATGCATCCCTCTTCCATGTTTCCGAGATCCCCGTGTCATTTACAATATCCCAAACCGAGTTAGACTCTTGGCACTTTTTATCCGCCAATGTACCCTTATGAGGCAATGTGACTGGAGCACTTTGGCTAATGTGTTGAAGTCGTGCGTATCACGCGCATCAGCGCTCAAATGAAACCTCTAAACGGGAGTTTGTTCCACCAAATCAACAAATATAAACGATAAGCTCAATTTGAAATTCCACGCGAGATGATGCCCGCCTATGAGGAAAGACAAACAAAAGAGTTTTCTAAAGTTTGTTTAGCTCGATTTGACACACAGCTTTATGCTTAATCTCCCAGTTCTAAGGAAGCCAGAAGCCTGAATGAATTGTAGATACCCATAAAATCGCTGTTTCAAGTCATTTAAGAGTCCACATCCCGTGATCCCCGGCACCCCCGAAGGCTCTTATTCTGTCACACCGAGCCGCCTAGCTCATTGCTTTTCTCGCAGGCTTTGGAGCTGAAGATCAATTATTTTGGGTGTGCGCTGAGAATTATTTCGTGGCAAGTTGCAAACCGATTGAGATGTCTGTTTTCTCCTTTTTGTGACATACTATCTTCGTTGGGGGACACCTCTGCGGACGGGGCGGCTGATCGTCGTGTGCGTTCCGATTCAGAAGAGGCGGCAGATGGATCTGGGAGATATTTTGATCGGCTGGGAAAGAAGTCTTGGATTCGATGTTGAAGCTGCCGCTTGAGCCTTTGAAGACAAACGAGAGAATAAATTTTTGAAGTATCTCCACATTTTCTTCGCGCTTTTGGTGTATAGAAGACTGAAAGAATGGCAGTTGTAGGAAATCGGTAGAATCTTTAGGTAACTATTACCTCCGAATAATCGTGCGGAATGGTATTGAAAAGCATAACTCCGGTCGAAATGTCAGCGCCGTCGCCAGGGAAAAGCATAGGTAGTGAGTGGTCTGTAAGAGCGAGTGACACATTCACTGCTGCAACGTTTGTTGGTATGTGGCAATATATGAAATGGAAATATCTAATATTTGCATCACCACTATTTGGATAGTTCGCAGTCAGAATAAACTCACCTGCAACTTTAACTCTACTTGGTGTATAGCATTCAATGCATCAAAGTTACACTGGTGAACCACTACTAGGATTTAATTTCTGCAAGTCTTTGTTTTAAGGCTTCATCTGTTGCTCTTTTCTGCATAAAATTGAAAAGTTTGGAGTGAGCAGCAGGCGAGTTCGAGCGTCAATAATTGATGTCACCGCTCGCTGACTTTTTTAAACACGGCCGAGCTCAGTGGAACGGACATGGGTGGCAATTGCAGCAGCCTCAAGGTGGCTTTTGCCGGTCTGCAAAAGACCCTCGAGCACTATGACTTGCTGATTTTACTCATCATAATGACCATAATGGACCAACCCATTTCACCTTCCTCGCGTGATCGGTCAGCCAAGAGACAGTGCCAGGTATCCCACGACGCAGCAGATGAGAACAAGGCCCAAAGCCACCAACAGAAACCTTGAGATGGTACATCCATCGAAGCTGAGGTTGTTCAGGCCCTCATCGATAGCAAACAAAGGAGATTACTAATACTGCATAGATTCCAGTGCGCACACGCGGTTCCCTTATGGCGGAGTTCATGAAACTTCTACACCACAACGACGCCCTGGCTACACCAGCCCTCAGACTGCTGGACTTGTAATTTTGCATGTGGGAATGCTACGTTGTCAAATCTGCCGAAAAGATACGACTCGTGGAAGAGCAGCGACAGCTTCAAGAGTCAAATGAGTGGCTCGCAAGCGACAGCGACATCCTTCTACAACTCTGCAATGAGCAAGCATTGATACTTTGGGATCAAAAGCAAGCAGTTTGAGCACTTTGTAACGGCGTGGTTCCATCATTGCAAGCGAGCGACACTCAAGTTTGCCATGTTGATAGGCATTGATGAAGTCTCATTGTTGTTCAGCGCTCGTGGGCGATAATGACACCTGAATAGCTCTGCTATCTACATTTGTTTACCCTCCATCATGAAGGTAATTACTTTTTTAACGACCAATACAACCACCGGTGAAGTTCCCTTGGGGTTGGTGACGAGTTGTCAACTTATCACGGCTGTTGATACACCCCATGCTTGATTTTCAACAAGTTAGCATCTGGCCATTAAGCCCCCCTGATTTGGTATAAACTTGAGTTATCAAGATAAATAAATAAAATTCCCGCGCAGCCTGCGGCATTCTATACTACTCAGCCCCTGGTGCCTATCGACCTATATCGCTCCTCAACACGCTAGGCAAACTTCTCGAGGCGATGATGGCTAGACGACTATCGTATCTTGTATCTTGCCGAGAACCACAACTTATTACCAGACACCCAATTCGGCGGGCGCCCGGGAAGAACCACCGAGCAAGCCCTCCTAGTTCTATCTAACGCCATCGATCGAGCATGGAACCAGCACAAGGTAGTGACACTCGTCGCCTTCGACCTGAAAGGGGCCTTCAATGGCGTCAACAAATCAAGCTTAGACGCCCGAATTCGAGCCAGGAGAATCCCAAGCGCGACCGGAAAATGGATCGGGAGCTTCATGAGCGACCGCCATGCCAACAATGGTTTCGACGGCTTTAGGACAGAGGTGGCACCACTATCAAATGCCGGACTAGCGGAAGGCTCTCCCCTCTCGCCAATGCTATTCACGTTTTTCAACTCAGACCTGGTCGACCAGGAAGTCACCTTCCACGGCGGCGCGTCGACATTCATTGATGACTATTTTCGATGAGATCAGCCGAGTTCCGGTGATCAGCACCTTAACCAAGAGGGCAAAGAGCTATGGCCCTTGTGCTCGTGCATTGTAGTCAAATGTCCTCGGTTCTATTAATATCGCATCATCTACAGTATCAGTAGAGTCCAGACAGGTCAGGCTAAGATTCACATACCTGCGACACGGGTGTTCGTACTGTCCGTTGGGAAGACGCACAGGGGCCGGACAGTAGAACAGCTTAAACAGCTACTGTGGCGAAAGCCATCTTCACATAGAAACCTTGACCAGCTAATTCAAAGCTCGTTTTTTTAATTACTGATGTGAATGGCAATTTATCCGGTGGGAATCATACCTGTATCTCTCACAGGCTTGCTAACTATTGGAGACGCGGATAATACACCTGCCCCGCCCTGCAGGATACTAATTCTGGAAATAATTGGAATCATTTCAGGAGCTGCTCACACCAAGGTTGTCGGACACGGATGCTGAGACCGTCACAAGGATAGAAATCTTGCTCCAACTTGAAAAGGTCCAAGTAAATGCCTAATGCAATTGCTACTAAAGCATCCATTTATAAAAAATACATCTTACGTGGCTCGGTATTGAGACCCGCCTCAGTTCTTTGCAGCTGGTGTAATCGATTCTGCGGAGGTCACCTAAAGGTGGCCTCGTGCGGCCACTCAATATGCGGGTGGATCGGTCATTCCATGCCCACTAAATCTTACGCTCTCAGTTTCAACAGCATCGCCACTGTGTTGATGCGACCATTTGTAGCAATGGCTAAAAGCGGAGACTGGCCTGAAATGCGAAAATTTATACCGAGCCCTGGCGTCGCAAGTAGTCGCCATACAGTGGTTGTGACCAATCATCTCGAAATTTATGATATAGAACTTACGGCCTGTTAAGCTGCTCTCGGCGATAAAAGAGAAGAAAACCCAAGCTGTATTAACTGTAAGTCAAATATCAGAAGACGGGAGAGGATATACTGTGACTGACCTAGCGAAAAGCTGGAAGGAAAGGGCAATCCAAAACCACGCATTGCCAACTTTATCCAGGGATGAGCCCACATCTGGAGAGACACCTGCTGGGCCGAGCTTATTAGGCGCAAATCCACGTGCACAGATTGTAGCGATAGATCCGATAGATTGCGCAGCCAGAAGGACGAAGCAGACGTGAACCCTTGTTAGAGTCTGCAAGAGAATCATCCCCAGGCCGACTTGTTGAATCTCATCGAGAACGCCAAGCCAGAGCCAGAGACATCGCGATATAAGGGCTCCGGAAGTCATACCCCCGGCCCATGGCAGATAGTAGCCGATGTTGGATACTCCCCACCATGTTTGCGCCCAGCGTGGCGCACCGAGACTTAGACCGAAGACGGGTAAGATCCAACTGTGCTCTTTTGACAAGTCGCGGAAGACGAATAGCATCAGAGTCCAAACAGCAACAAAAAATAGAATCACCAAGAGAAGAACTTGCCACGGTTTGGCATGCTGAGAGGACCAGAGAAATGACCAATTTCGACCAAACACTGCGGAGAGGAACCAGTTCTGAATGATGACCATGAAAAAGAACCAGAGAACGATGCGCCGACGGAAGATCGAAGTGTAGAAGAATATGATCTTTCCGGGGGCTTGACGGTAGTAATCGGGCAGGCCTAGGGCAAGAAGCACACCAATGGTGAAACACGCTGCGGCGATGGGCATCAAGACAGCCGTGAGTCTCCATGAGCTCAAGGCAGCTGTTGAGATGCCTTCAACCTCCACTGCAGAGACTTTAGAGCTCCAAAACCATAGAGCGACCGTGTATAGCTGTTGTATGCCCTGTATGAAGCTTGCTCGGAACATCCAATCTTTGACCGGGAGGGCTCCTTGATCACCGAAATTGAGTGCAAAGAACAAAGAGCCGCTTGAGGAGGCGGCGGCATAGACGCCTGCGCCAACGTACTGGGCCCATGCCCGACCGGTAGATGAGTGTGCAAATGGAGAAATGCCTATGATAGCGAATGAAATGCAGTATATGAACCAAGGAAGGACGAGGCATATCACGGATGGGAAGCAACAAAACAAAAACCACCAAGCAATCGAAGACAGACAGTAGACAGCTGCAATGATATAGAGTTTGACGGCAGTTTCGCCGATATGTCCAACCAAGAGAGTAGTTTGCGCCGAGTTAGTGGCGATGATCTGGCCCAGGCCCAAAAATAAAGCGTAGACAGGCCAGTTTCCAATACGCCATCTCATAAATCTCTGAATCGCGATGGGTCTTTTGTATCCAAGACGGGAGAGCCATTGATCGATGCCATCCGCTCCATTTGATTCCGAGCGTCCAGGGGGAAGTGAGACACTGTCATACTCTGTGTCATCAACAGCATAGCTCAAGCCAGCTCCAGTCAGGGAACGCTCCTCCACATTGGGCTGCTTTTTCAACTGCGCGTCGGTGTACATGTCGAAGAATTTCCGCTCGCTTTTCATCAAATAGACATCAATACAGTGATCGGTGATTGAGTTATTCTTGTTGAGGCTGGTGAGTAGCCTTTCAAAGTTACGTGCGAAGTGACCCATTTCGTCAGTAAAGGTTGGGTCAACCTTTTGCAAATTGAAGACAGGTTGGTCGTGGTCCCCAAAGACAGACAGCAGAGAAAGAACAGACGGGTTGCGGACATGCGTAGCAGGCGTAGCATTACCAGAATCTAAGCCATCAGAATCCACGGGCGTTCTCTCTGAAGAGATGTCTAGAGAGACAAAGCGCGATGAGTCGGACGTTGATTCGTCATGAAGGTACATGTTGTCACGAGAAGGTGAGCTGAGATCCCGAAATCCGCGAGGCCAATTTTTAGCTTCCATAGATCCTCCAATGGCGGCGTTCCACTCCTGTGGTGTCAAATTGTTATCTCCGTGGGCTTCTGTGGTATTACCGTCGAACAACTGGCTCCCGCGCAGTTTTCTGCCCTGTCCAGATCCGAATCGTCGACCGAATGGCAGTTTGCAGCCCGGCATGCCGATGCTGGGACCGCCGGACTCGTTCAAATTTTCAAGCCCGGTTGCTTGTACATCTAGAATAGAAGGCTGAACGGGCTGCGGTGCTGTCTCCGGCGGAGTTTCCAAAGCCCCTGCTAATGACTGACGGGATACTGGACGTGATCTCCCAGGAAACAGCGGGCCCCTTACGTTCCAATTCATCTGAGAATCTCGGGCCTGGCCTATCGCACGGTTTCCGTCCTTGTCGTGATGTATTTTGATTGCAGTTCGTTGCAACGTTTCGAGCTTTTGAACCCACTCAAGGACAGGAAATCGCTGTTTAGCGGAGTTTGCACGCATTGTTTCTCTGGTCTCTCGGGATGAAGCCAAGGCAGACTTGATGGCAGTCTTCAACTGATGCAGAAGATGACGAGCCGAGTCGGACTCCACAGTGTACCACCAGCCAGGCATTGTTCCGAGACCTCCAATGTGAGAACCAATTCCGAGAGCACCCTTGCGACCAAACTCAACGGCAACCAATCCAAATGGCTCGTCTCGCGATGGGATCAAGGCGAAATCGGCACCGGAAAATATACAGGGTGGAAGGATCGTAAATTCTGGCCTTGAGAATACCCGACCAGGGTACATTTCCATTATCCGCTTGAGCTTTATAGCAGCCATTTTGCCATATAGGTCGACGAGTGGGCCGACCACGATCAGTTGTACAAGTGGTCTGCTAGACAGAATCGCTGGTATAACATCCGCGATCAGGTCTACTCCCTTTTGCTTTGACCACCGTCCCACGAACACGAGCAAGTCAGCATTCGGGTCCTCGTTCAGACCGGCCCATCTCTGTGTCTGAAGCTTATTATGGATGAGATCGGCGTGAGATTGAACATTGACCCGCACTTCTGCGCCCGTATTCACAGAGCCTGTATCGGAGGGGTCTGGATTCGGAAGGCTACCGATATTGCTAAGGCTCCAGAAAATTGGATATCGAGCCCATGAGCGCTTTCCGTATTTCTGGGACACACCCACTGCACCAAATCCGTGCTGATGGAATCGCAGATAGCTCGCACCGGTATGGAGCAGGTTGAAAACGCTTCCAAATTGGCAGTACTTGCTCGCTATCCCAACGGGGAGATTGAAAACAGAGCAGACTTCTTTCTTCTCCTTTTGGGTTCTCAACGGCCAGAGACCTTGAAATTCGGCATTGTGCAAGGAAAGACAAACTGGAATGGTTCGTTTCGGCAACAAATACAGCGGTGCAACGCACCCATGGAAATCGTTGATGTGGTAGAAGTCGATAGAGGGTGTTCGCCTGATTGTCTCTGCGATACACTGATTCCAAGCCGAATAGTAGATCGCACTTTCAAGGTCATCCATACGGGGTGGATATGGTTCCGCTTTAGTTTGCTGCCGGAAAACGGGAGCATCAAGCAAGACATAAGTGATGTTCCCCACGGTGTGGCACTGCACGTGGACTAAGTAGGGCCGATCCAGGATCGTCACGACGTACGGTTCAATTGGCGTGTCCACGGGGTAATCAATATCACCAACACATGGCACCACCCAGATCAGGTTCTGGTGCGTCAGATTCAAGGACATGAGCTGGGCCATGACTCCAAGGCCGCCGATCTTGACTTTCAATTTCCAGTCTTGTACGTCATATTCCATTGTGGCGATCAAAACTGTACGTCGCTGGTTGACCACTCCTCCCACGGTAGTGCCTGTCGGTACAAACTTTTCTGAAATTTCGACATCCGAGTCACCGTTCCTGGAAAGCTTGTCTCTGACTTTACGCCAGAACAAGTTAGGCAACTTTTCGACCTTGAGAGTATTGCCGTCTCTGTTGAGTTTGACTTGATAGAAGGTTCGGATAAAGATCAAGACACCAGCCAGACCCATAATGACCGGACCAATCCACAGAAGAACGAAGAGAGCAAGCTGGGCCCGTCCAGATCCGATAGGAATTTTTTCATATCGCAAGTTTGCATCGTTGAGAGAGATCTTCCAGCCAAGATGTGGAAAAGGAGGCGCGTCGCTGATATTGATAACGTTGGAAGAGAGATAAGATGGGGGAAGTTTGAGAATTGTGGATGAGTTGCCCACATCACCGTAGACCTCTTTGTTGTCCGGAACACCCGACGAATCAATACCCCAGACATTCAGCTGCCCTACGGCTGGCCATTCGTAGACAAAGTCATAGTTCCAGCGCAAAGACGCGCTATCGAACCGCATTTTGTTGTCTAGTCCCGCATCATAACCGTACTGGTTGAATGGGCCGTTGAACCACAAGTGAGGGAATCTTCTGATTGAGCTTTCATCCCAATTGTAATCACCTTCCTGCATGTAATCGCTACTCCCAGTGAGTCTTGAAAAGTATTGCATGCGGATGTGAGTTCCTTTCCATGTCTGCTTGGATGTTCCGGTAAAAGTCGGCGCGGAAACACTCGTGTTACCACCCTCATACTCCATCCATTTGGACCAGGTATTTCCGAAATCAGATGAGTACCGAAACTTATCAGCGCCCGCAGCGTTGTGCTTGACATAGAGCCCGTTGTCGGACTTTTGCACTAGGCTGGTGGAGTAATTGGATAGCGGAGTGATCAGGGGATTGGTGTGAACACCAACGCGTATCAAAAAGCTGTCGGTCGCATTGGTATATACTCCAGACGTGTGAGAGGTGGAAACATTGGCAACGGTGAGTTGATGAATTCCGTGATGGACATTCGTCAGGTTTGCAGACCATGACCAGACGGTCGGAACCTCTCCAATATAGTTGTTGCTGGTCGTCCTGGCAGTGATATTGGTGCAGCTGACACTGGCGGTATCAATTGAGGCGTCGATGCCTTTCTCGGTTGTGGATTTCAGGGTGATTCCGTTGGTAATGATGTCACAAGTCATTTCTGCGGAATATCCGAGCTGTACAGGGATCGTTTCGGCCGTGTCTTCTGGAGATAGCAACCTAGAATCGTGGCCAGGGACAAACTCGGTGACTGTAGGGCCAGGCTCCACAAAAGTCTCGGTTTCCACATACGCCCGGTATTCCCATGGAAGCAACTCCATGCCGCCCTTAATGCATCCATAGGGGGAGTTTGTGGGACCATCATCCACGACAAGCTCATCGTAGGGATAAAAGAGGTTCTTCAACCTTTTCCCCGACACAAATGGAGACAACAAGGCAGCACTGCTGTTGCTGCAACTGCCGCCAAAAGATTTGGTCCTGTTTCCATTTTGATACACGAGCCACATTGTCTCGTTAGCCAGGATTGCTTCTGTCTGGACCTCTGGGTAATAGGCTCGCAAGACCGACCAAAGACCGGTGACCGTCGGAGTGGTTGATGAGCCAGGAAGGTAGATGTCTTCAGTGAGTTGAGAAATCGTCTGAAGAAACAAGCCATCATTTGCGACCGGAAGTTGTGTTCGGATCTCGAACATTCGCTTCATGATGTTGCGGAGTGGATGGGCAGGATTGCGTTGATCATAGGTGACAGTGATATCATTGCAACCATTGCGACCCTTTTCAATCGGGAAATTGTAGAACTTTGTAGTGTTCAGATTGAAGCATCCATTTGTCCACCAGGCAGTCTGGGACGACAAGGGCTGCCTACCGTAGAGATAGTTAGAAGCGGTAGCATCGAACACATACATTGCCTGCTCTTCACCCCACAGGACAAGAGGAATTCCTGGGAGCACCAAAGAGACAATGTTCAATCCCAAAAGGTATTTGGACGTGCCGTTCTGAATTGTTGGCCAGCGGAAGTTATCTTGGTTCGAGACACCGTACATATGTCGGGGATCTAGCTCGCCTGTGAATGCATTTAAGAAGTCATTTGTGACAAGCATCTCATTCCAGGCTTTGATGAAATCGGTAGACAAGTCATATCCTGCAACCAAATTACCATCCATTCCCAGAAAACGGGTCAATGAACGGTAAATGGTATAGTGAAAGGCGGAGGCATCTAGTGCTTGCAAGCCATCCTCTCTCAAGAATACCCCTTCGGAGGCGTTTGTTAACTTGGTAGCAGCGCCTGTAGAAATAGGCAACTGATCTGGCTGACGCCCGCGGCCGAGATAGAGACTACCAAAGGTGTTTCCTGACGTAATTTCACCGGGAAGGAAAAAATTGTTCTTTCCGAACTTCTTCGCACATTCACGATAGACGGCCATCATATCGCTCAGGGGCTCGAGCGACGCTTGAACAGCTTTATCAAAGCGGAACCCGTCAATGTCTAGGCTGGCGATTTGGAAACAGGAGTGTCGAGTGATGACATCGCGCACGGGCTTGTGCCATTCACGTAGGCGGTCCTGCACCGAGGCAAACTTTGTGAGCTGGCGCTGCCAGTCAGGAAAATTGCCGAATGCCTCTAGTTCCCCGTGCTGATCAAAATCGCTGTTATAACAACCATTGAGATCTTCCACTTCCTTACTTGCCAGTGGATACCCATTTTCGTACCAAAACCTTGGATAGGTGCAGGTGTTGTTCCAGGTATTCCCAAACGAAAAATCGGCGTACTGTCTGTCCGTGACCCATTGAGCACGGTATTCACTTGCTTTGAAATCTGCTGAACCGTTCAGGTGGCCTTCAAACCCTATCAGGTTGCTCAATCTATATTGAATCTTCGATAAGCTCTTGGGCATTCAAAAATCTTCAAAAGTGCCTTGACATCGACTTACGTTGCAAGCGTATTGTCTACCAGCACATACATGCCTCTATTGTGTATCTCCTTCACGGTCCGTCTCCAGTTATTCAAGGTACCATAATGCCTGTCGAGGAGAGTAGTATCGGCTGGTGAGTAGCCATCGTAGGCCCAGGGTAGGTTCTCCAAAAATGTCCCAGCAAAGTAAATGGCCTGCCAGTGTCAATTATTAGATATGGCTAGGGTAAGCTGAACAAACTTTGAAGCCCATGCCATGGATATAGTCCAGCGTATCTACCAAGCCATCCAGGTCGCCGCCGTGTCGCATCTGATTAGAGTTGACGACATGCTCAAAATCAGTCGCGTTGATATCGTCGTTTGTAGGGTCACCATTAGATATTCGGTCCAAAAAAATGGTATAAAAGGGAAACGCCAGTTCTCTGGCGACGGATGATAGTCATGGTCTGGCCATGCTCCCCAGTAATCGATGGGGCTTTGAGCGCTTTCGTTTTGGTTCAGATTATAATCAACGAGAGCCTCATCATAGGGCCAACATGAGACGAAATTGAAGAGAATTGCCTGTATGAGAAGCGCTGAGAGCTGCATCTTGGCGTATGATACCTAGGTATCCTGGAAATATCTCCTTCCGTTTATTGAGCGACACCGTAAAGTACAGCAATGGTCAGAGCGAAGCTGTACTGTCAGGTACGAGTGATGTTCAATAACGGCGGTTTAATAATTTCGTGACGAGAAGGGGGTTAATTTCAAGTCTCGACTATATTCTAGTCACGACGATCATAGAATTCAACCTTCGAGCGAATGAAACCCCAAAACCCCATATCGGAGGTGATAAATTACACATTCATGTCTCAACGCCAATGATTTGCCCTGTGCCACAAATGAGATTTTGTCTTTGGGGCGATTTACTGTAGAGGGCGTTCACAAGTTCTATGATACTCTATGAACCATGGTTCAAGAACATATATTCGGACGTTCCGGAAGAAAATAATGTATTTTACTGTAAAATCAGCAGTACTAATTATAGCATCAGTCAAGTATGAAGTGGTCAGTTGAGTATCTGCACGGCAGGATCCGAGCCAGAGAGTACTAAACTGTATTCTATACGACGCAATATTACACGTATGATGATAGCACTCCTCACTTCCCGGTTTCGGTCGAGGCCTTATCAAATGATAAATTGACTGGGCGCTGCAAACAGTCATGAGTCATGACGTGACCAACTCAGCAAGAAAGACCATTTGACAAATTTGCTGTCAGACTTAGATTCTCGCCTGTGCCATTCTAATGATAATTTTCTCACTCTGTTGGCCATTTGTAGCGAAGGATATCACCAAATGTGTCGAGAGTGTCCGGTGGAGAATGCGGCGTTAGATGAGGCAAATAAGGGGCCGACCGCCTGCAGCTCCCCTTGCCTCGCTGCAACCACCACATCCCACTGTACCTTGGTAAGGCTGTTAATGGCGCCTTTGGTTCGTGGTATCAATTCCATGTACTCTGAGAGTCAATTATCATCTTATAGGAGAAGATGAAGCCCTGCATAGTCTACAGGGTCTGCTCAGCATGTGCTAGGGGCCCTAGATATGTGCGCCGAAGATGAGGTGCATCGAAGAGACCCCCTTTTCCGCAGATAGTGCTGAATATACGTGTCACATGTATCGATTCGTGTGAGAATCTTCAATTAGCTCGAGACTTTCTCATGAATCTCAACACGTTGAACGCCTCAGAAATCCGACATATATAATTTTGTATAACTTATAGTCATTAAGCAAAGGATTTTTTTATTCAAAAAAAAGAAAGAAAAAATTGTTGTTCAATGTATTTTCATGATCACAAGTTCGGAAATTGAGTGTTGACAACATGTGGCTAAGCTTCAACGGGTTGACGCGGGCCGGGTACGACCTCGCTTTCTGCAGTCTAGACGGACAGACCCACAGCTCGATACAACCAACACATCACTGAAGCGAGGCTAAGGAGAATGTCCATGTCTTCTAGGTATGAACTCTTAGGCGGTTTTCGGTGATTCATCATTGAAACGCTCACAAATGAGGTATCAGAACAAGAAATATGTGTTGTGATGTGAGGCTGGTGCACCCGCACCGTCGGAATTAGCTCCGAAGTGTCTATACTGACGACCAAGTTGACAAATAATTGCGGTAAAAAAAAAAAAAAAAAAAATGGGTTTCAACAAGCCTCGATTAAGGTAGTTGTTCCTCAACGCGTTCTACCAAGCAGCGCACTTGTGCGAAAAGACGAGCCGAGTAGCCTATAAATACGTCCTCTGCCCCCGGCAAGTTGCTCTACAATCTCTTCACCTGACTCTGCAAAGTCAAGCAGGTCTGTGTCTGAGTCACCTGATAAGTTCTCTTCTTTGACCCAGAACCGATTTTCCGCTGTACTGACAATGATAGGTTACATCGAGGAGTGCAAGCCAGACAGTGCCTGCGAGAGATGCAGGTGTGATTACCACCGGTTATATTACCATTCATATCAGCGATTAAAAGGACGAGCTTTGAATTAGCTGGTCAAGATTCCTATGGGAGGATCGCGTATGTGGTCTCCGTGGCGAGCAGGTACCTAGCAAATCCTGGACCTCAACACATGAAGCACGCGCGGCGCATCCTGTGGTACTTCAGAAGCACGAAAGTCCTCAGACTCACGTACATGGGCCATATTCAGATGCTGAAGGGCTTTACGGATGCAGACTGGGTTGGATGTCATGACACAAGACGATCAACAACGGGAGTGTAGCAATCAGCTGGCAATCGAAGCGCCAGTGTGTCGTTGCCCTCTCAATCTGCGAAGCCGAGTTTCTAGGGCAGACCCAAGCAACCAAAGAAACAGTCTGGTTGAGAAGACTCATTAATGAATTGAACACGAGACAAGGAAAGGCCGCAACGATCCTCTGTGGCGACAACCAAGGAGCTATCGCTCTGTCCTCAAATCCGCAGTACCACTCTTGCACAAAACACATGGAAATTCAACGCAAGTGGCAAGGAGATGTGCAAGATACTGGGACGACAGAACTGCAGTACAATCCAACTACTGAGCACATCGCCGATGGGTTCACTAAACCTGTTGCACGACAGCGATTGAATGGTTTCGGGGTTTCCGAGAGGACTCGGTGTTGGATATTACGGTCGCTAAGTGGGATTGCGGTCAAAGGTATAAAAGACCAATTACGCCTCCTCAGTAGATAAGTCAAGCAGAATCAATCGTACAATCACTTATCTCAATACAAACCATAGCTCCGAATCAACTGTTTTGGGTCACAGGTCTTACAGCCAAGGCCTTCCCACTACAGACTTTCAACCGCGGACCTGCATCTCTAGACTCAAATCCGCCCTCGAATTGGTTCCACGGATCTAATACATAACTAACCCAAAATCCCTGGCCATGTGTATATTCCAGCCCATGGACCATAGAGGCCACAGAACGCTCTTTGTAAATCTAAAAAGGGCCCAAATCATCAGACTCATGCCCGCAGTATGCAGTACAGTCTGGTAGGCCTGAGGAGTCTGGTAGGCCTGAGGAGTCTGGCAGGGCTACTGAGCACTTTGATGGATCGCATGAACGATTCGTTGATATGACCTGTGGAGTTTATTGCTTGCAAGGCCGCCCGCCGACCTGCCATCGCAGAGAAATTGTTGCCGTCGTTTGTCGATATTCCGGTCTTACTCTCCGGTGAGCCCTTTTGAATACGGTGCTCACCGTTTCCTATCAGCTCCGCTGCGTGGACTGGCTAGTGATTCATCTGCTCAACTTCGATCTGTTGGGATTCAACCATCCTCATTCTGTCTTTAAATACTATAGCGGCCCCTAATTGGCTTTCGCGTCCTAGGTCGTCCGAGTAAACGACAATGATGTTGACTGAAAGTTTTGGCCTGCCCCCTTGCTGCTTCCCGGTCTGTGATACACCCGTGGTGGCGTATGGATACTTGCAATTGTGTGTTGGACTTAGCGACGAAGGACCAAGTGGATAGGAAGGATTTGTGTTTCTATTCTCAATTTATTGTGGCCACACTTCTGAAAGCTGACAGGATGCGGACTAACGAAATTCTTTGTATTCTGCTCAGATGCCGAAAGCGAGTTAAGTCTTTCAGTGGATAATGCATATTCAATGACTGCCGTGAAGCATGATCGGCAGAGCTGTCGCATACGTTATGAGCGCGGGTGTCGCAACCCGCTCGGGGCAACTGAGGCCATGGTTGCGCTTGTTGTACTTGCTCTTTCCACCCTAACTTCCGATCGAAAGTCACACCCAATGATAAGGCTGTGGGATACGGTAAGACTTGCATTCAGTTTGCGACTATTTGACCTTGCCGGTGTTTTCCTTCTGTCTGATTAGTTGTGGGAGCTCGGTCTTTGGGGCTGCGATGCAGGGCCCAGCTTTCCGCGCCCATGCCCCTTTGCAGGAGATGTCGTCGAGTTCAATCTTTATCAGATTCTCCTCTGCTGAGTGGGCTCCTCTCTAGCAAAAATAATCATCGATGGATGCTGAAGCGCTACGGTGAATGTTGAAGGCTTGGCTCACTGGGTCGGCGTTAAAGAACGCGAAGAGTATGGGGAGAAAGAGGACCCTTCTGCCAGTCCCGCGCACTCTGACCGTGGGTTTTTTGGTGCAAGAGCCCTTCCTAATCCTTGCTCTCGATTTTGGGCTGTGCGATATGCTTTACAGGAGTACACTGAATTAGCTTGCTCACCTCTCATGGCTCGATGGCATTAATGGACCGAGCGTATTGGATACGTTTGGATACGTTCCGTCTACCCCATGGTGTAGTATCGTATTCTTCTTTCAATAATCGCGTTCCCATCTACGGACAATTTCTAGTTCGCGACTCCCTTGGGCCATGCGTTCAGTCTTCAATTTCTATGCTAGCGTATTGGTCTTTGACAAAGCTTCGTCAGTAATTCTTCTTGGACGCTCACCATATGGAGTATCCGATCGTAGCCCCAGACTTTTCAGCCAGGTAGGAAAGTCAACGTGCTACCACTACTTTGAGAGTATTTCCTAGCTATTGAGATTGGACGGTAAGCTCCGGGGACCGGGCTTTCTGCTTTCCCCAAGTTTGATCGGTGAGTATGTGTAGAGTTGAGGAACTCCTCTCATCACATACAATTTGTATGCGACAATGGGCGAATCACAGGTTTCCCGTATACCAAGATCTTCGTTCTTGTTTTGTGTCATGCATATGTTGACCCTTGAATCCCTTATGTTTGATGGAACTCTTTTAGTAAATGACTAAGCCACAAATATGGGCACACAGAAGCTAGGCCTCGCAGAAAATTGAGCAATCTTGTTCACTGTTATGTAGTGTGTATAGTGTGCCATTGTAGGACTCGACGACACAATACTTCAAATCCTATCAACCAGTCGTTGTGAGTCTCCATGATTATGCTAGCCTGTCGAAAATGACCTAAGAGTTTGTGCTTCCAGGAGACTGACTTCCTCAGTATCTCGCCAAACTACGTGAACTAGTAGATGAGATATCACAGCCGCGTTTCAGAACTTCTACTAGAACTGGTAGGCTTCCTCTAGAAAGACGAGGAATGAGTTTTTTTTTTTTTTTTTTTTTTTTTTGAAGATACGACCATAGGAAATAGTATATACTCTTGTGCAGGATGAGCATCATGCATCGCAGCTCGCTTTGACGGCAGTCTCAAGATCTTTGTGCCCGTAAAGAGTAGAGGCACGTGGGTGAAGCATGTACTCTGTACCCAGTTTTCCATCTGGGAGGATACTCATCCCCATTTCAACCAACAGTCGAGAATTGTGGGAGGGAAAATCTTCGCATAGAAATGGCGGAGGCGCTCCTTTTCCACTGGTCGCAACTCAACTTCTTTTCCGAGTGCCTGTGTAAATGCCCCACGCACGACAAGTGGACTATACTTCTGAGGACCATGCAATTCAACTATATATGGTTTCGTTGGCAGAGCCTCTTTGCCGGTTAGCGGGTCGGCGAGAGTGGCGCCAATATCCGAGATTGAGACCATCAGAATTTGAAAGTCCACCGGTGTAATTGTCGAAAAGAAGAATAGATCTGGGCCCTTAAGGGTTGCGAGATTTACGGTCCAGTTCTCCATGAAATATGCACATCGGACAAAGACAGCGCTTTCGACTTTCCTCTTCCAAAGAACTTCTTCCGCTTTATGATTTGTCTTGATCTCGCCCTGGTCTTCGTGGTAAGCAGGACCATAGGACGAGGTCTGGACATGCTTAAAACACTCTTGCTGAATTCAGCCCCTTCGCTGCTGAGCAGAACAAGTCTTTTAACATTGCCAGCTAGCTCGATTGCACTTTTGATATTTGAAGATATCTTCTCCGCATGTTCGATCAGATCCCGACCGTCGAAGACAGGTGGTATAATAGCTAGAACAGCATCAGATCCCGTCAGATCAAATGTACCCTCGTCTGACGCATGGCCCTCTATTGCAAAGATATTTGCATTTGCAGAAAATGCAGCCGGAATTTTGGAAAGATCAATGTAGATCCCACGAACCTGCACGTGCTTAGCGAGTAGCGATCTGGCGGTTGCTGCGCCTGTCTTCGTGCTTGCTGGTACAACTGTAACGAGCATTGTGAGATTTTCTCGATTTATATGGAGTCTGAGACAGAATACATGGGAGAATACGGGTTGATGGCCTGCAAGTGTGCATTATATAAGTATGTTCGCGTTTGAGTCACCTCAATATGACACTGAAACACAGACTGTAAGTAATGAATTTGACAAACTTCGCATTTAAGCCGAAGAAGTGAACAAATGGGCTGAGCGGGCGAATATACCAGTCTTCATTTCCAGAACTTGGAAATTTGTCGCGGGAAGAAACTGCTCAGAATCCCCACGGCGAAGTCAAACAGGTATGGAGCCACCTCCTGTCAGTGAGAAGTTTTTCGGCAGCCCAATGAAAGGGCTTCACAGAGAGGTCAGACAACATAATCTGTGCAGCAGGTGGGTTTGATCGGTGGGTCGCCAACTGAGCCTTGTAATGTATGCATTTGAGATAATTATTGTCAACATAGTGACCGTATTACTCGAAAATTTGGAATATTATTCATATATTGAGGAGATTAGTGTGCTGAGTCGACGTGTACTTTGGAACGGATGACTAAAGCCTACAAGACAAAAGCGGTTTGTAGCCTGGGGCACCGATCGAATCGAGCCAAGGGATGAGTAAGCTGAACTTGCGTTTATGGATACGCGTATTCCACCAGGTCAGTTCGTTTCATTTCTAAAGTGCACCTTCTCAACCTCACCGGTCTTGTTGACATCCATTTCGTGTCTCATTTATCTGCTGATACTCCTGAAACGGGGGACTCTGCGTAATATCTTCACCGAATTTGTACATGCTGATAAGCTAGCTCAAGGTCGCAATCCTCACTTTCCTTTCGACGGCCCAATGGCCAATACAAGTCCCACCGATTATAAGAAACTCTTCAGACAAGAATCAGAGAGACGGAAGCAGGCCGAAGAGCGAGAGAAGCAGGCCGAAGAGCGAGAGAAGCAGGCCGCCGAGCGAGAGAAGCAGCAAAGAGAGCGCAATAGAAGAACGACTCTCGCCGAACTCCTCCGCTTCTGCCATAACTTACTTTCCCGACCATTGAAATTCGAAACCCCGTCTCGCTCGACTACAGGGACTATACCTCCTCCTACAGGAAAATACTGCCCTACACGACTAGCGCCATGGACCGATTGTTCAGCTCGACAGCAGAGAATATACAGCTCCGTGTGCGAATATCTCAAGCCGACCGAGGAAGCCCAAGCACGGTTGTTTACACCTTTAGTTGCGCTTGAGGAGGATGCTCGACGATTGGGTCTCCGACCAATTAGCAGTGAGCAAGGCCTTGAGAACTATGAGCGAACCGCCGTGGAGGATCATGTCCGCGATATAATTGCAGAACTATGCAAAATTGACGCTGCCCGAGACGAGTTCGGGCTTGGGGATGGAATCCGCTTTGACAATCACACAAACTCGTTTGATCCACACCGCGCTCGCGAAACAGAAACAGACCAGCCATCAGACATACGTCAACCCCGACCTGATCAGTTCTGTGTCCACCGAGTTGACGGAAGCACCAGTACCCTCCTGACTACGGTCGAGTACAAGCCGCCCCACAAGCTTTCCGTCGAAGCCCTCCGGGTGGGGCTCAGAGAAATGGATTTGTGGGAATACCTGGTCAGATCAAATAAGATTCCGACGGATCAAGCTGAGAAGCTGAGATACAACGCAGAGCGGCTCGTGTGCTCCGCACTCGTCCAGGAATACCATGTGATGATTCAAGAGGGACTCGAGTACTCCTATGTCACTAATGGGGTCGCTCGTGTCCTTCTTCGTGTTCCATACGATGATCCTAGCACATTGTACTACTTCTTTTGTGATCCGAACGGTGAACAAAGTCTCTCAGAGTCGAAGACCTCCGTCGCCAGGATTCTGTGTCTGTGTTTGATGGCGTTCCATTCTCCTGTTCGGGGCCATGAATGGAGAAATTCTGCACGGTCACAACTTCCTTTATGGTCAACCAGCTTCGACCACGCTCGTTCTCAGATACCTGAGGCAATTTTACAGCGGATCGCTCTGCACTCCGACAGTACCAACTCGGAATATGTGAGTCCAGAGCCGAGCTCAGATTACGAACCATCATCGCCTCCGCTAGAATCTCCAACAGTGGGTCGCCGAGTACCGACGAGGTCTCAAACCAGTTGTGCGCCTTCGGATTCCCGACACCGGTTGCAGTCTCCAGGATCATCAGAGTCTGATTCGAATCCTGCGACCGGGCGCAAACGGGGCTTCAGTCATGTCGCATCTTCCCCTCCCGTCCAACGAGCGGCTCGTCAAAGCGAAACCAGACCAGATCAAGGCATCAATTCTTCACGCGCAGATTCACAATTCTGCACCCAGCGATGTTTATCAGGGCTACAGATGGGAGATGTACTAGACAACTGTTGCCCAAACGTCGAGCTACATCGCCGTGGTCGAGATTCCATGCGACACGCCATCACCTCGGCGGATTTGATGATGTTACTTAAAGCAGAGCTGGACGAAAACATTGACCGATGTGTCCCTTTTGGAATCCGCGGAGCATACGGTGCGCCGTTTAAACTTACTTGTGCTAAATACGGCTATGTTGTCCTAGGAAAAGGGACCACGTCGGGCCTGTGGGAAGAAGTCTCCCGCGAAGCACAGGTATATCAAATTCTGCGGACGGCTCAAGCAGCTGCTGTGCCTGTTTTTCTGGGTACAATTGACTTGGCAAAAATTTATTTTCTTCACGGGGCCGGAGATATACGTCACATGCTCATTATGGGTTGGGGAGGGGAAAGCACCGCAACCATGGAGCTGACATCGGAGCTTCTCGACCAAATTCACAAATCGATTAAGGAAATCAAAGCCTTGGGAATCGTCCACGAAGACCTCCGATATGATAACGTCCTTTGGAACCCCGAGCTTGGGAGGGCATTAATCATCGACTTTCACCGATGTAAATTGAGAAAGAGGTCAGGACTAAAGCGAGCGCGAGCAAAGCAATTGCGAGTCACTTCAGGACGAGTAACGTCAGGAGATACAAAGCGGCGACGTGTTCTATGAGAGGCATTCTGCTAAGTTGTACTTTGTACCAAATCGCATAATACATGATAATGGCACGTTTCTACCACTATCCTACACATTTGGAATCCCTCGTGTCAGAACGTATAAGCTTTTCAAATTGCCAAGCGTCATTTTCTATCGGCATCGAATTGCTGCCGTTTCTGCGCACTGGAACCTATGCAGTGTTAGTGATCTTGTAAGTTTGTCATCGAAGAGAATATCACCGACCTCGGGTTCAACGATTGTGCCGTTCGCAGGTTGTTGTGGATAGTTTTACAACTTGTTCTCATCTTCAGGGTCGTGGAAAATCCGGCACTGTCTCTTAGCCGGCTGGTCATATGAGAAAGATGAAGTGGGATGGCCCATCGTTGCTTTTGAAATGAAATGCAAGAGACATTGTATAGAAGAGATTTTTATAGCCCGGCAGTCACATTGAGGCTGCTGTCATTGCCACCTGTAAACATCCGGCCTGAGTTCGACCGTTGATACTCGATCTTGCCTGATGCTCACTGCGAGTCGCTCAATTTGATGGAAAAGCTTCGAACCTCGACGTCGGATCACTCCTCCAGGCTTCCCCAACACGAGTTGAAGTGGTAGATGCCGCCTGCTAAGGGATATCCAAAAAAGCTCTCATCATTGTTGGCTATCTCTACTAACAGCATCCACATTCAAAGTCTGTTGTTTCCAACACTGCTGATTCTCTTGTGGCTATTGAGTTTCGAACCTGCCTGGCGGAGGACTTGAAAGATGGATTTCCTTCATTAGACATTACAGGAGTTGCTGCAGAAAAGAGCCCAGGAGGTCGTGCATGTTAGCAGGCTTGTCAAAGTTTCTCGTCAAAATGAACCTCCAGCGACATGGAACGGATGGCATCGATACGACGGTGGTGACGACATGAGGATCTTAATCTGCATTAGAGGCAAACCTCATATTAACCACGCGGTCTCAAGCACTGGAAATGCTTAGTTCATGCGCATTGGAATTAGGAATTAGGGCGAGTCTCTAGCCCCTCGTTGTCTAAAATCTCAGTGTGGGACTGTGCGCCTAGTCGGTCCTCCAGAGGAACAACCCAGTCTTCTTGAGATTTCCTCTCTGCTCGTTGACGAGCCCTATTTTGGCGTTGCAGCTCCTGTATTCGCTCTTTAGCCTCGGCAACGCTAGAGCACAGATAGGATGTTTGCGGATATTTTAACTCAGATAGGCTTTTTCGAGTCATGTTAAAGAGATGAAAATCTAGAGGAAAGTATTTACAAAGTGGATTAAAATGGGCATCTGGTCATTTCATTCTTTTACTCAGGGGTATGAAACGAGAGAGCCTAGAAAATGGTCGGACAGACAGAATCTGATATATCCCATGAATTAGATTAATTTTATCATATTACATGTGATTGACAGATCCACCAATTCGTAACAAGACGCGTGACAATTTTGACAGGAATCCAGAGATGTAATTTATATGATTGGCCGAGCCCAATCTTAATCACCTTACATGGCCAAGCGCTAGTCCCAAATAGAGAGTCGTCACATTACGCTATCTCGATTAGGAAACCGTCACGCTCTTGGCGCGAGACTCGAAATCATCAACTTTCGACGACGAGCTGCGACAGCGAAATCCATCAGAAACTACAAGGCGTATCGTTCGGTGCTGCTGATTGACCAGCTGTTTAGCTGGAACCACCTTGGCTCGTCCAGATTATGTTTCTGCTCTTAAACTTAGGTACCGATTGGCATATGGAGAGTTACACTAGTTATTACGAATGCGGGAATATGTATTTCCGGAGAATGCCGATCACGTGTCGTGGTTCAATCCTGCGTCTCAGCCTTCCCCTTTCCTCTCCCCATTTCCGCCTCCCTTCCCCGTTCCATTCGCTCGTTCTCGCCGTCACCCCCCCCCATCGCCCTCTAAAATCGTCCTGTAAAGACGGTGTCCGCTCTTTGTCCTCGCCGCCAGTCTTGCCATTACGGTCTAAATTCAACGATTTTACTCGTCGACTTAGGATCGGGCTTGTGCTCGTGACCAGGCAGCAAGAGCTTTCACCCCTTTACTCAACTGATATTTCCCGTGGGTCGAGGGCTCTCCAGCGATGTTCCGACGGTCAGGCAAGCGGGTTTCTCGATCCAACAACGGAATTCCTACCAACGACAATGACTTCCACATCACCAAACAAGCCCAGGCGCTTCAACAAAAAAGTTCTCGTTCATGCACCTGACTTCGGTGTTTTTTGTGTTGCACTTCTTCGCGTTTTTCATCATGAAACCGACCAAGAAGGGTCCATTTCTCTTTTAATTGAAGCAGATCTTATTAATCAGAGCAACAAATCACAGGTGATATTGAACTTCCCCATGAATTCGATCGAGACATGTAAGCTATTTCCACAAAGCAACGATAGCCTGATCCCATTCGATTTGATCAAGGAGCACCCCGCATATATTCCCTCCTGGGATGCTTCGAACATCACAACGATGAGCCTGAAACTCGGCAGCACTGGAGACATTCTACGTCCAGCCGGGATAGACTTTTCATGCCTCGCCAATCCACAAGATTCGGACCTCCACGCATTTGCGGATATCTGTGAAGCCAAACACCTCCATTTACATATTGCCAAACGGCAGTTCCAGGGTGAAGAGCTTAATGACCTGAAAAGCCTTTGCAGTCTTCTACCAAAACTTGGCCAAAAAGATTTCAAGAGCCATCATATGGTAAAGGAAGGCTTGGGTGTTTTTCGTAATTTGTGCAACTTTCCCAAATCTCGACCCCCGGATTATACGGCGTCCATGCCCACGCAGACGGAGCAGCTGGATCTGCCCCCATATCCCCAATGTGAGGTGCCTGTGTCCGACCAGGGCGGGAAACGGCGCAGAGGTATCTTCTTGTTCTTTGTCCTCTGATGATCAATTGTTGAACTTATCCAGGCTCATCTTCATCTGTCGATGGAACCCGAAAAAGACTGCTTCGCCCATTGGAGTTTCCTGATCTTTGGTCAGGCTCTCCCACCGAAATAAATACACCGAGTGTCCTCTCACCGTCACTCGCGTCAATTCGCCAAACCGACTTTGAGCGTGCTTCGCCTGGTCGCAGCAATGATGGGAATCTCGAGCGTCTCATAGAAGCACTTCGTGACGCCACTGACGAGACGATCATCGAAGCACTTGGACAAACGAATCACAGTGACCTGCTAGCTTTACGACAAAATACGGATCAAAAAGAGCCAGCCGGGCTTGAACGACATGTCTGTAAGATGTTTGACGACTTTGGTGTCAATATGTCCGGGCATCTTCACGACGAGATCCTTCACCGTTTGCGCAACGCGATACCTGAATACCTAGGCGACTCAAATTTCGAAGAGATTGTCCGTAATCAAATCTCTGACGAATTCGAAACCATACAAATCGATTATCTTGCACAGGTCGATGAAAAGATCGAGGATGGTAGATTCGAAATACAAGATGTCGCCAATGATTCTTGGAAGGTATTTGAGGATGATGCGCTACGCCTCAGGGATGATATCAAGGATGAGATCAAGGATGAGATCAAGGATGAGATCAAGGATGAGATCAAAGATGAGATCAAAGATGAGATCAAGGATGAGATCAAGGCTGAGATTAAGGCTGAGATTAAGGCTGAAATCAAGGCTGAAATGCTTGGGTTTCAGGAAAGCCCCGCTAGGTTCAAGCGCTTGTTTCATAATAGCAAGTCAAAACCATATAGCCATGCAAGGTATCTCTCTATCTAGATCTCGGCCAGGTTCATATCTATCGTGATTATCATTGTGCATGAACATTACCTCAAATAATTTTTAGAAATGGCAACCACACTTGCGGCGTAGTGGGGCGGATCACCATACCTAGGGCTCATCTTAGTCTTGTCCAACTTGATGTGAAGAAACCGCTCGCACAGAGGAAATAGCGTGTGGCTGGGATCGCAATATCTCGCCAACCAGCAATATTGATTTTTTGCCGTACCGTATCGCTGAATTTGTGAGGAGATATAAAGATCTGCATCTCTGATCGCGACCTGGGAGTCACCGGTACAGAACACCCGACTTTGAATTACAATAAACACAGCTATATAGACCACCAGTATGGAGCACTTGACTTCGAGTTACAGCAACCGCAACCATGCAGACTTGAAATTAGTGCTACACCTATGCTTTAATGCCTTAGCATTCAGAATCTTCAGTTTTTAGTTTCTCAGAATATGAACTAGTTGTACAGATGGTCCAAGCTCCCTTCTGGAGACAGTCTGTGAAATATCAGCTGTAATGTCACTCGCACTAGGTAGGAGCCATGATGCAGATTGGCGCCACGGCGATTGACTTTGATATGCCTCACGGTTGAGTAACTCGGCCACTCGAAGAACGACCGGGATAGTTGAGCAATATATAATCACCTTACCCCATTGGGCCTGTTGGATGCGGTTATATATAAATCTCATTACCTCTGGTGCCTCTGTCCATCGGTACGAAACTAGGAATTGGGGATCAACCTCTGGCCAATATACCCGATATCCGATGCTCCCTCAGTCTGTCCGGGCCTGGATAAGCTGGATATCCCCGGGGTGTGGCCCGGATCCGATGAAATAGCCGACCCTCATCTTTTGAGGGCATTCATCAATCAGGATTCGATCCAGTCGATGCTGTAGCCGCTGCCGGTTTAAAAATGTCATAAAATCGTCCAAGATAGCGGATTCGGGCGTAACAAGCACGATCGAGGGGTGGCCACCGGCTCTCCCACTCGACACATGATACACCGAGCTTAGCGCAGCGCTGCTGCAAATCATCCCGTAGTCCCTCGGGGCGCGGTCCACGCTGGTAGCATAAACAGCATGCTTTTTCCACTTCCGGTTGGCATGGCTGCTATAACTGGGCTTTGAACTTGCTAAATAGCCTGGATAGCGGCCGCTTGAGCGCCCCGAAAACGAATCGATTTGCGCCCGAGTAGCTGTTGTAGCTGAGACTCTATCCGGGCCTGCTGTAATTGGCATCTCCGCTCAATCCAGCCTTGCTCAGCCTCACTTTCTCACGGTAAGCGGATCGTCTGACCTAATATACTCTCGGCAACCCCATCATCGGTGGATACGAACCCTAGGGATTTATGCCAATCAGTGCTGCTAAGCCGAAACATCTCACGTTGGTATGCCGTTGTGCCAGGTTGCTCCATAATTCCGCGACCATATATCATCCCAGCGACATGGTAAGAATGGGCTGCTTGTAAATCAAAATGAGATAACTCCCCAGCACTTAGATGGCAGGCCAAAACAAGTCTGCCTTCATGTAAATAGGGCCAGCAGGGGCCACCGCAAATATCCTTTGACATAGACAGTATCTTGGGCTTTGTAGACTCTCCAGCCGCGGCAGTACACGGGATCCGATTCTATTCGGTCCCGGAATACTATCAAAATATTCACAGCGATGTCCATCTAACCATGAAACGGGCGGCCGATGACCACCACCGGCCCCAATTGCTCACGTCTAGACTAAAATACGTGCTCCATTTATCTTCGCACCGGTTGAAGGCGGTGATTTCCTAACTCTCCATCTTTTCTTTCCGCACCCACGGTGCCACCAGGTCTTTGATAGGTTAACCGACGAGCAGTTCTCGCGGTGGTTTGATCAGATGTTCTACCCTGCCCTCCGTCAGATCTGCATCGCCGACCACCTCCAGCACCTACTGGCAAGTTATCGGCATGCCTTGGCTACCTGCCGTGCCTCCCGGGTTGAGAATTGTTTGCCGGATACACCCGGTCACCAGCCTCAGCTACAGGTGTCGTGTGTCCTGCCGCCGCAATGCCTGACTGAGCTGTGGCAATACGTCCTCGCGGCGGTCAAACTGCCTGAATTACAGGGTTTTCATGACCCCGAGCTATTAGTCGAGCCCAAAGGGAGTAAACTGCGGTTTGAACCTGCTAATACGCCATCTAATATGCTCACAGTCATGGAGAGTTTTGACCGCGAGCTGCGTCGCGTTCTAGATTTTTCCAGGTGTTGCACGAGCGGCTATATATTGAAGTGTGCAAGGATACCTGCCCGCCACATGGTATTTCCCGAGGCGATATAGGTGGCGAATCACTACACGAAGCACAAACATACATCTGGCGAGAATTCTTCTAGAGAAAAGTAGGTTGGTAGAATTTAATTAATGCCAGTGGGTAGAGACGCCGCCGCGCAATATTATTGATCGAATAGCTGGGCTCGTTATACAGAGCGAGCAGATTAGCGCTGATTCCGCTGTTGGCTTGTCTTTGACGCGGTATTTCTTCAGAAGACGCGTGTTTCCGAGGTCGATCTTCAATGAGTTCAGCATGCAGAAGGCTTAGGCGATATTGTCTCTTTCTGATATGAGCGATCGGGGCGACTAAACATGTAGAGTAATGATAATATATGCTAGTGATTTCCGAGGCCGGCTAACAGGTGAGAGTCCACCACAATGCGTTCTGTGTGGTAGATGATAAGAGATAGACAATTGAGAGAAGATACGTCCCATTCAGTCGCCCCGCTCGTAGGAGACTGAGAGGCCGATACGTGTATGCGGAGGATGCGAGGTGCGGAGGGCGGATGAAGGGTGCGGAGGACAGATGAAGGGTGCGGAGGACAGATGAAGGGTGCGGAGGGCGGTCGGAAAATGCGGAGGCAGTAAAGAAAGGCCGCTTGGCATCTGTCTCATCCTGATAAAGAGTTCTCTCCTGCCTCTCATTCTTCGAACTTTTATTCATCTTTCCTTCTCCCAAACCTCTGTTGAGAGCGACGAAATCTGATTAACCTCCATTATGTCACCGAAGCCTCGTGGTGGTAAACGTATGTCCTGCAACGTTTGTCGTCAAAAGAAAAGGAAATGCGACCTTTCATCTGGCCTCGGAGAGAGAAAAGAACCATGCTCAAGGTGTGCTAGATTAAAAATTCAATGTTTCGCTGAAAGTCCGAATGACACCGGCACGTGCAAGCGCCAACGTCTAGAGCACACGACCCCGGACACTTCGCCAGGCGAGAGCCTCGTTTCTGACGAAAGGACTCCGTCAAGCACGCTGCTTCGGCCCCAATTCAATGGCATTTCGACCACCGTGGCACTTCGCACAGACCCTGACACTGTCATGGAGGGCCGTTTATCTTTTCCACCTTCGTCGCCAAGAGACACTGCTGCCAGCTCTCCACTGGATGACGGGCTTAGAACTCCATTCGCAGCCCAATCATTTGAACTAAACATGGAAGGATCATTTCTCCTCCAGAATATCTTCCTCGGAGACCTTCCACTACGATCTCCGGACAGGGACTTACTCGCTGTGTCTCGCTCAGAACCCCGCTCCCATTCACCGGCTCCGGAAACATCGACATCTACCATAGGGCCTCCCGAGTTCTTCATCAGGTCCGATGCTTTTCGCTCAGCGGGCCACCATCTTTTTCAATCTGGCTTAGAGGGAATGGGCTGCGGCAATTCATCTTTTTATGACAATCTTTTGAAGGCATGTAACCTCTGCATGAGGGAATTCAATGAGGCGCTCCATGCGTATTTCGATTTTCCGGCCCTTTGCCGTCCCTTCATTCCAGAGGATGCATTTTGGCAAGACTTCCATGCAGACCGATGTGGCTATTCTCTTCTCACAGCCATTGCCTGCTGTGGTATCCCTTTTACAAAAGTGGAAAATAAGTGGAACAAGCAGCGGCTCCTCGCCGGCATGTTTAGAAAAGAACTTATGAAGACTATGACGGCCACACCTCATAACCGTCCGATCCGCCTGGACGAACTTGAGGCTATGGCTCTTATGGTCGATTCTGAATATGGCAATACACGCAAAACCGCGGACCCCCTTTGGAATCTATTCATGACGCACGACGCCCTCGTCTTGAAAACTTTGCAGTCTCGAAATCGCGGACCCAGGGGGACAGATTCTTCGGCACTATTTACACAGGCTGACGAGCGCTTCACGCTTCTCTATTGGGAGGTCTATTGTCTAGATGCTTTTCAATCTCTCAATCACAAGGCCATCTCTCTCATTCCAGACAACGCGTTGGCGCTAGACCAGAATCCTCTAAGATATGGAGTTCAAAGCTATCTTGATGCCATTCTGAGCTTGTCCATGGTTGCGCGACAAATTGCCAGGAAACTGTGTAACACCACGGTGAAAACCACTGGTATTGCTTACGAGGACATCACCATGCTCCATGAACAGCTTTTTCGCTGGCGCAACCACAGTCTGCCTTCTGAGCTGCGAGTATCGATTGATGCAGAGGACGAATTCATTGCAGAGACCCTTACTCGTCGGGGGGGCGACTCCGATCCCAGCCAGCAGAGTGATTCGCCTTCAACGGGCAATTCTACGGGCACTCGAGATCAAGTGTTATTTACAGATTGATGGCTGCGTTGTACAGTATGGCCTGAAAGATGGAAATGCATTTCATGCGGAAATAATCGCTGCCAAATGTCTGGAGGTTGTTCTCGAAGCACTTAAATTGGCTGAATCAATCAAAGAGCAACCTCTTGGGGACACGAGTTCAAATGAAAAGCCGTTGATTGATTGTTCACCGTCTATACTACGGAACATCTGCGCTGACTTGTGTTGCTGGGTTTGTTCGCGTGGCAAACGGCCCTCGGAGCCACACGAACCGAAGCGTCCAGGCCTTCGTTCCGTATCTCCTGGAGAGGCTTTTCGAGTTTCCAGCGAAGACTTTCAGATGCAACGGAAGGCAGATTATGTCGCAATAGCGAGTAGGCTGCGGGATTCTGTAGCCGCAGCTTCGTCTCACAGAGAAACGGGGCAAATGGTTGGGCGCCTCGATGGTTTGATCGCCAATTTACGGGGCCCCTGAATTCTGGGCAAATGCTCAAATGATGGATTGAAGCCTTAAAACGACGATATCGAGAAGTTTTACCGGCTGATTCCGGCGGAAGCTGCCCTTGAGAGGCTTCCAGTGAAGCGAAACTAGTGCAGTTCAATGATCAAGCCATCACATCGGAAATAACTCCCAAATTATGTACCCAAAGAGCCAAGTGCAAACACACCCTTGTCGCAGCATCAGCCAAGTACGTGCGATGGAAGTGTGTCTTGGGAAGGTGGTGGGATGTAGTGATTCAGGATTAAGCGCGACGCTTTGCGTCTGTCTGTGAAATCGACCGGCCCGGGTGCATGCTAGTAGGGTGGTGTTTATTCTTGTCGTGTTTATAGAATAAGAGGCGGTTTCAAGCCGATTTTGTCTGTCTATCAACTACCAGAGACCGCGATGGGATACGCATTCCAACTTCCCGTACTAGTATTATTACTTAGTACGAAGTTACAATGCTCAATGGCCCGCCACTATCTTTCATTGATTACCCACTTGATCTTAGTAGCGCGACTTTCTATTTGGGTGACGAAGTAAATTAAGCGACCGCTGTGATGATTGCATGTTCTAGAAAGCAGCAATGAAAGTCGAGAATCGCGCGGTTTCAGAACATGCCGAGACAAAACTCTAGAAAATGTATGCATAAAGATGCTATAGAAGGCTACATTGCTGTTGCTTAGATTTCCTGATCTTTCAGATCTCGTTGAAAATCTCGTAAAGACAACAAGTACTGTTCATTCTGGGTACCCTCCTCCCAAACCCTAAGCCCAGTGGTTTGCTCCAAATATCCTGGCCACTCCTTTGGGAAATACCCTTGTATTTGCAGCTTTCTTAGACCTGAAAGCTTAGAGAGCCTTCCAAGCGCTCGCACAAATTCGACATCCACAGCTGGGCCCCAGTGATTGACGGCTGGCTCCGAATCAAGGTAAAGGACGATTTCCCGGAGGCTGATGGCTTCTGTGGAGACCTTGTCGAGAAGCTCGCGCCATTTTGGCCCATCAGGAGGCTTGTTGGTGAGAAAATCGTTGTACGGCCCGGGATTATAGACTGCATGAACAGAAACCCACAGCTTGCGAATATTGCGTACGTTTGATGTAGTAAGTTGCTGGAGCCATTTTATGCCATTGTTTGGGTCAAATATCCGGAACTCATTTTCTCTATAAAATTCTGGCGATTTCTCAAGGACGGTAGCTTGAGAACCAAGTATGTGGATTGGTGATTTTGACATAATGAAGCAAGCTTCTATTGACCAAAAGGCGGTACAGTAAAAAAAAAGCCAGTGTCGAGAGTATGTAACATGGGGCAATTAGCCGAATTTATTATCATGAAAAGCGGAGTATCCAGAAAGGAATGCGTTATCTCGGTAGACGTGGAGTAATTGGATTGGCGGGGAAAGTTGCATATAGTGGGATGCAGGTATGGTGATGAGAAGCAGAAGACATGTCAATAAACTCATGGGTCAGACCAAGGTGAAACACCTGGTATTATAAAACTCTGCCCAACGATTGCCTATCCCGTGGGGGGGGTGGAATTCGGGGAATCCAATAGGGTTTTGCATTTTTGTATGTGGGAAAATAAGTGGGGACACCCTCGAATCCATTTAATTTTCATACGCCCGACTCATTCAAATTTGGCGTCGGGTAATGCTTAAAAGTCCTGAAGTTGTATTCCTTGTAGTGGATTTCCATCAATTTCAATTTGGGGTTTATTTGACCCGTTTTGGTGGAGGTTTTTACGATTAAAATTTGGTAATTGTTTTGGTCAGGTGAGGAGGAAAAGGTGCGACCGTAGTCAACCACAAGACCCACCATTCGGGGTTAACAATTCAACCGATCCAGCATGTAATTGAACGAATATGGGGCTGAGATGACAAGTCAGGCGTAATCAGATGTCCCGGCTGTTATCCAATTTAATTTTGTAAATATCAGACCACATTTACCCCCAGCGTTGGAAGGCGATTATCATTATCATTGACAGATATATATATATATATACGTATAACAATATGAGGACAGGATTTCTTGTTAAACTCGCAGAATACCTCATCGTTGCTTTAGTAAATAACGTCAGATGTTAGATCGGTGTTTGGCCTACGGTTGGGGTGGGCAAGAGACCTGGAAAAGTATTCAGAAACATGCTGTTAAAATCGTCGAAACTGTACCACATAGCTTGAGCAGGCGTTCAAAGAAGCACGGGCAGTCATTGCATCCACGTACGGGGCCACCGCAAGGTCCCAAACCCACCGGTGGAACCCCCCCGTCCAATAGGCTTCTCAGATCCACGCGGAGCTGGACAGGATGGAGGCGCTGTACCAGTAGTAATGCATTCTTGACGCAAGAATATCGAAAATCGCTATTTACTGAATTCTCTAATCCAGCCTTCTATCTGAGACTGGCATTCATTCAAGCTCTCAAGTGTTAAAGAGCCAGCGATTCCAAACCGCAAACTTCGCCGGTAAACCCATTGATACAGCTTCACCTGACTTAACCGGACTTATAAGCCAGTACGCACCAAAGTAGCCGATTCCTGCATTTCTCGTTCTATCGCATCCCGTTCCGACTTCCAATCTTCAAATGGCTGGAAACCCCTTTGAAACGGGTTTTGTAGCACGTTATCAAGGTCTAGTCCTGCATTTGATTGCATCATCTTGACCTCATAATTGGGGTGAAACCCTTGAACCACGTGGATTGGATGTGACTCAACATGGACCGTGCGGACTCGTCGCGCTCGAGCATTGCTCACTGACGAGCAAAGGCTACGAGCCACGGCATTGTTCAAAAGCCCCCATCGATCGTTTGATGGCTGAGTGCCACGCTGACAAGAGATCAGAATTTGAGGCTGAATGTGCCCCAAACACAGAAGTGTAAGGTGAAAGGCCTCAAAGGCGAAATTGGGTTGATTCTCTTCACTCATCCGATCGATGAAGTCATAGATAGCCATGGGAATCGTATCAAAAAGAATGATGTCTCGGATGGTAAGGTTCTTGGGCCGAAGGACTTCCTGTAACCATAACAGGGTTGGCGATTCCTCGAGCATTTCATCAAAGGGCAGATAGTCCAAGGGGCTGGGATTAAGCAGCAAGATGGACCGGAAATATAAGCACCCCGAGAGCAGTGCGCAGAAATTCTGGAAGCTTGTTTCAGGTACGTTCCATTTCTTTTGGAACTCTCGGGCAGATTCATGTAAAGCATGCAAATTTTCAACCTCAAACCAGCGACCCTGTCGGAGGCCCTCAAGTTGGGGTCGAATAACATCTCGGGCTAGATTCTCGATAAAATGGGGCTGTGGCTGATCGCCAGATTCAGCTTGCAAATATGCCTTGAAAGGATTAAAACCAAATGGTTCAGGGTCGAGAGTGTTTCACTTGGTGTTTTCAAGGACAGATGTCTCAAAGAGCCAGACGAATCGATCTCAGCATACTTCCCCTCTGGGAGGTCCACACTGGGAGATTCTGGCTCTGGCATATTTGCCTTTGAAGAATGGATTCGATGAGGCATATTGTCACGTTGCGGGTTTGTTAAGAGTAAAACCTTGGCAGTGCGTAATATCTCGGAACCAGGCTATATTCTCAAATTATGTACACTGGTCATGTTCAGTGCCGACCGGATTTGGGAATTGCCAGATACTTCTCAGCCTTCCATTATTCAGTATTGGGCCGTTCTCAACCTTGAAGTCTTTGCCAGAAAAAGAAACACCCAGAAGCTTGCTTTCCCATGAGACATGCACTTCTACTCACAGTCCACTTTTAATACCAACAATGATTGAAGCCAGCACTTCTCAGACTGGTAGAACCCTATCATCTATAATGGAGTACTGCAACCGGAGGAAAGAATGCAACCAACAGATCCTCAAATGCCGGAAGCAAAGGATAATCGGGCATTTCCATAATCCTCTCAAGGAATAGGGGTGATCTACCATAGTATGTCTTAAATAAAATTATGATTCATATAGTAGTTCAACGAAGTAGAAATAGTCTATACCTACAATCGTGACCTTAAGCCAACCCTCAAGTCAGTTATTAACTTGAAACCTTGTCTTGGATTTCGATCAAAAGTTCAATTAATCGGAGGATGCTCTCTAGTATGTTCATCTATTCTGTTTGTTGAGTTGCACGTCTGCAATATTGGTGAACTTGTGTTGATTCCGCCAGACTATACCGCCCTTGAAAATCCATCAGATGACCAGTGCATGCTCATACGCTGCTGGAAAGTTTCCATATCAACTGCAATAACTAGGTTGCAAGCTGAGTAGTTTGTATCAATTATGTCAGGGCCGAAAAAAAATCACTCAGGACCCTCGACTTTGTATATAGATATCCTACATTTATATATATCTATATCTATCAGGTTCTAGGCCGCGAATCACAGTTTCACGATCTGAGTGCCGCCACTTTATAAGGGCGCTTTAGAAAGTAATAATTTATCGTTGTGTCACGGTACAATATACGCCATGACGCTGTTCAAAATTCATATCACGACGTGGCTCGTACTCCACCTCATAACCCGCTGATTCGTGTACGAATGCAAACCCCGCCTTTGCCGCCCACTGCCTCGCCCCGCAGCTTATGCGTACATGCTTTTCCCTCATGAATCTCTATTTTGTAATTGAGTATCACTTGGAAAGACTCCACCACGTGCGGAAACGATGCCTTTCCCGATCGATGCAAATATCTTCCTCTACATCGTGTTCGTTGTGGTAAGAGATTGAAGATCCCGCCTGGCGATGAATTCTCTTGACAAATTTCCTCGTCTAGGGAGGGGCCATCTCCTTGATCCTTGGAGCGTGAGTCATTGTGTTCTTGGTCTCATGAATAGCTAGTCTTTATCAAAAGGCTAGCGTGTATTAAAAGAGTTTAGTGACTAACAGCCCTCTCACAAACCAGAATGTCTTGGGCTCGCACCACCACAGTGATTCTTCCTTTACCGACATGGATTCCAGTCATCGCTACATTCATACCCCCCCATTACAGTACTCACACTGATCGCAATGCGAGTTTTTTTCCCACGGTTGAACAGCGAGACACCTTGCAATGCCCGATGGAGCACAATATCCGGTATACTCAATCAAACTCAAACCATCATATCGACCATAACAGCGACAGTAGCACTTGCGTACCTCTTCCCCGATAGAATTCTGTCATGCAACCTAGATCAACAATGGCAGGTGTTCTTCCAGTCGAAGAATTCGCACGCTATCCGCTCAATCCAAGATGAGTTCCGATGCTGCGGTCTTAGAAGCCTTCGTGACAGGGCATGGCCATTCAAAGACCGAGACCACGGGGATAACGCGTGCCAGGTGCAGCTGGGATATCAGAGGAGCTGCTTTGTTCCTTGGAGGGAGCACCAGCAGAGTACGTCTTGGATGGTTTTTGCGGCGGCGGTTCTTGTTTTCGCAGTCAAGGTTAGTTTGTTACTCGGAGGTTCGTGTTGTAGTAGCTGATATTCTACAATTCTACACAGATCGCTTTCATTCGGCTTTCCGGCGATCGAGCAAGCTGGATGAGCGCACGATCGACCAACAGGAGGCCTGATTACCAGCAGATTTCACCCCCAGGGGCACAGGACGAAGGAGACAGCGAGAACGGTGTTTCCGGGGAGACGCGGAGGACATTCTTACCTCAGTCTAACACCGAGTACAGAAACGACTGGGAGATAAACTAAGTTCAAGAAGCCCTCCAGGCCAGCCAAGGAGGAGGGAAGTATATCAGCGCGATCTCCTGCCTACGTCCGGATTGAGAGAAAGAAAAGTCGGCAGCCGGCGGGAAAAGGGCGGGAAAACGGTGGGAAAATGAGCATGTGTTACGTACGTCATGGGATTGAGCTTGAGATTGAGCTGGGATAGGAAACAGAGTTTTATTGTCATTAGTGTTCCGAAAGGAATAAAGGAATACAAATACACGACGTGTTCGTATGTATAGTCCGCGAATATGAATATATGAATCTTTTTGTCGCGCGAATCAAAGCATTTTTCATGTTCGTAGATGTTCGCGCATCAATACTTTTTCCGGTACAACGGTTATCGTACTGCTGAAGTGCGCTAGACACGTTGCATCTCACTTCTGGCATACACCCCTGTCAGTGTGTTGGCGCCAACTGATGAATAATTTGACATCGAGTGGACGGAGCATTTGGAGTGGACTGCACAAATTTGTGGCTGAATACGCGGTTATGGCCCTCTTTGAATGCTCAAGCGAACTGACCTTGCCAAATCACCTGTTCTCATGATATCAAATTTATGAAGTCTCAAACTTCAAAAGGAACTTCGAGGGGCTCAGCCAATATCCCTGTGATTTGGAATACGAAAGGATGGGCATAGTACAGTTCGATAGCATTGTAGAGACCGCGATGAAACGTTTCATCCACGCGGATATAATTTGGAGTACCTCGCAATTTATCTCTTGGTAAAGAGAGACTTGTTGTCATGATACCAGCATAGCTATGTACATACGCAGCGCGTATACGACTATTTTCCATGATGTAGCTAAGACTGGGATTGACATTGAGACAGTCGCCGTGGTGACACCGCAGGCCAGGTTACGAGAAGATACGGCTGATAAAATACGGTCTGGTCAATGGGTAGTAAATAAGAATCAATCATCAGCTTTCATGTTTCCACATACTCAATTCGACTGCGCTGCTTTGGTCTCGCCGGATTTATCGGGACACGAGCATTTAGGGTGATTCTATTGTCTCTATTTCCCTCTATAGATCATTTCAACTATGTCCTCACTTGCACCTGATTGCTCAAAGCAACCTGGACAGGAAGCTCCTCCACTTCACATTCATAAAATTTAATGGGTCACTCACTTGACACAAGATGACAGAGAATAATGATAATTTGGTACCTATCCATTTCAATTTGCAACAAAAGCGCGCCATCACCATTTCAAACACAATCATTCTGCTTAAAGGAAGATGTATAAAAACACCTTCATGATCAAAGTCTTTGCGCGAATATGTCAAAGCTTGAGAATCGGTGCTAAAATCTTATGAAAAATTGTCGGTACCTGCCCATGCCGATGACAAAATAAAGGGCGAGAAAGTAAGACGGCTCAATTGCATAGAAACGCGTCGGCTAGGACAAAGCGGTAAGTTCATCCATGGGTCACTGGGCTCTCATATTAAATGTTTTTCTTATTCTTATCAGCGACATGAGGACTATAATAACAAATAGGCAAATAAATGATGGCAGGAGAGTGGAGTTTACATCCGGTGAAATGTGCAATCTGCTCAGCCGACATTCGAAGTAAACAGTTTGATTACAGTACACACACACATACACACATACACGTGCGCGCGCAGTAATTTGAATCGTCTCTTGATGAACGCGGCCACTATTCAATCATGAAAGTAGCACAACGGTATGACTAAGTAATCTAGAAATGGGTTCCGGTTCGTATAGCTCGCAAGAGTAGAGTATAGAAAAAAAGACCCTTGGGTGTATTCGGACAGGGAGGGTATGCGAGTCGTGGCAGGATGTAATTCGTTGTCTTCCACGCCTGGCCTGCAGTATAGTTTATTAGATCCAACCCCGCGACTTCCGAAAATAACAAAGTCTTCACTAGCACAAATACACTAATAACGGTGAAATGGTTGCGGCTTCCTTATACTCATGTGCGGACCTGGGTTGCAACAAAGATAGCAGATACTCGTGCAGAAACTGCAAGCTAGTCTCGGTAAGTTTGAAGACTAATGTTGTGGTTTTCTAACATCTATGATAGTACTGTGACAAACGCTGCCAGATAGCACATTGGCCAGAGCATAAAGTAATCTGCAAGTCGAGTTTGATGAGGCATGATTGGAGCCCAGGTTGGGAAAGAGAAAAACGGACGCCAGCGTTTGCAAACCCTCAACTTGCGAGAAACCACCATAATCCGTTTGGCAAAGGGATATATCTGTGGGGTAATGTTCCAGCAGTTGATGTTCTCAATCTGGTACAAAACGAAGGCAATGACTTCTCTCGAGATGTCACGATACTTTTCGCTGGTTAGTTAGCCTTCTTCGTCCCAATCATAGGCTATTGCGGCTCACATTCTAAGCATCTGGTGATTTACGCAACGTGGTCAAAACCATCGCCGAGCTTCCTCCACCCTTCACACAACGAACTGATTTGACTATCAACGACCGGGATTTTCACGTCGTTGCGAGGAACGCCATACTACTTTTTTTTTGCCTCACGGCACTGGAGACAACTTCCACATCACTCGGTGACTTCACTCATGCTGAGTCTTTAATTCACCTCTGGTACTCCGCCTCCTTGCCAAAAGATATCATTACTCAGTTGGGATCGCGTGTAAAACCTCTATTCACTGAGGTTTGTGGACAAATATCTGCCAAAGCCACTGGGGAGATTGTGGAGAGGATCTGGAAGTTTCCTCGTAAGAGAAGCCTGCGACTTGCTCTTAGGAAAGAGGAATGGTACCGATTAGAGGCACTCTGCGAAGTTCCTCCAGATCTCACACGACAGAAAGCTTTACATATCCGCACAGCCACGACATTAGCTCCGGAGAGAAAGGACTTTCGAGATCGATGGTACTTCAAAGACACCACACCATCTGTACGTTTGTCAAAACAGAGGTTTCGTGAAGATGGGCTTCTTCTTCCATTTGGACATGATAGGGCCGATTTCAGCACCCCAAATCCGTTAGTTTCAGAGCCCTCAACTGTTGAACAGCCGGCTGACACTCGTGGCAATATATCAGTACATTCTACTTACCTCCATTTGTCTGGCCAATGGATGACAAAGCCGACCCTTTAGATGGGTGGCCGATACGAGAAGTTGCTCGAGAGCAGACATTGGCGAAAGAGGACCTATATGGTAAACTTTATGTTTACCTTCGGCGTGTTTTCCAACAGTTCCTAGATGGCCTAGCAAGGATAGAGATAGACATTGAACTGTTCAATGTGGACGCGATCCAGCTTCCTGGAATTCTTCAGGGGAACAAATATGCCAGAATCGAGGTACGTAAATCTGAAATGTCCGGACAGGTATCTAATGACATTTAGGTATCGAATATAACTGATGCTGGGTATCTGGGTACACGGGAAACGTTGCGCCTATTGTCGCCTTTGCTGCAACCTCCACAGAAAAATCCTCACGCCACCATAATTTCAGCGTATCTGAATGCGATTATGGAGATGGTCAAACAAGGCGACGACAGAGACCAAACACCGAACATGGAATTACTAATGAAGTTCCTACCTGATATTGACATGTTCTCCTTGCTACGACCGGAGAGCGCTCAAAGTCTGAAATTATGGGATGCGAGAACAATTGTCATTGACCGACACAAGTTTTTTGAGAGGTGAGTAATGATTTGAGTGGCTCCACGATATCAGCTGACTTTTGGCCAGGTACATCAGCGTGTTTCGATTTGGTCTTATATCTGCCGATCTGCAAGTCGCAATGAAGGATCGCAAGACGGTAGTTGAGGCATGGCCCACAAAGCCAATACTCAAAAGAGGACAGCAAGGGTCCCAAGACGAGTTTAACATTCTTCTGGATTCGAACTTTACCTGCGTTGAACGATTTGTGGAATGGAGGCGGACAAAATAGGAGTTTCTTCTCTTTTCCTAGCCATGATCATCTAGTAGTAGTAGTAGTAGTAGTAGTAGTAGTAGTAGTAGTATTCATCTAAACTGACCCCTCACAAAGCGGTATACATTATACGTTTACTATATATCCGAACAAGTACTTTTAAAATTGTTCACTTATAGTAGGAACTTAGAAAACTTAGAACCTCGTCACGGCCTACCCTTGCCCATTGCCGTTCCCATTGTTATGCTGTCTTCATGACGCGGCTGTTGTGAGATTTCAAGAGAGACGGGCAGCGACTGTTCGAATTTGGCTGCATTGCTGACAGGCGCGAGAATGCGGGCAATGCTGAGTGTAAGAATCTGGATAAAGAACATGTTGCAGAAGCTGATTTGTTGCGGACTCGACTGGCTGGTTTTCTCTTAGATTTCGTTTCATCCTTGAACGGGGGTGGTTTATTGTGAAAACGATGATGAAGATCTTCAACTGTGAGTGTGAATTTGAGGGGAGGTGCGGGTTGCTGAGTTCTAAGTGTCAGTTGCGGATAGCTACCTAAAAGATTCGCTATTACAGTGCCTCCTTGTGTAGTACCTGGAAAACTAATGTTTCCTCCACTCAGCTTCATTTCAAATTTACCACGCAGTAGTTGAACACCCAAGGAGCAGAAAGCTTGCTATCTCCACTCTGTTTCTAGCTTTCATCAGACAGTAGTTGAATACCATCAGGGATCAGGTCTTCCTGGGAACAAGACACCACCGTCGAACCCAAAATCTCCTCCACTCAGTCGTCCAATGCTGGGAAATAAACTTTGCCACCCCCCCCTCTCCTTCAGATCTTAAACGTTTTCACAATGAAGGTTCCCGGAATCTCATACAGGAAAAGATATTCCTGGTTAGTAGACGCATAGTCCGCATAACCAGGAAGGTTGACACGGGCCAGATCCAACCAGTTCCAGGCGTGCTTATAGATGATCCGATTCCCGCGGCTTTCATACTTGCGCAGACGACTTTTAGAGATGCAAATCTCTTGCGCGACGATTCTAGTCATCCCCTGCATTCTGCGGCGCCTAGCTTCATTGAAAAGCCTACTCTCTGTCCATTGTAATTGAAATGAAAGGCGATAAGCTTCTGCTCGACCAGTCTAGATAATCTAGCACTATTTTCGGCATCTATCATTCATAGAGACGCCCCTGGCCGAACTTGCCAATATAGCATCCGCGCTCTTGTTGAACCGAGCCTGAGAGTCATCATCTTGAACACGCCATGCATGAAGAAAAATCTTGTCCTGCCGAGCCATATTCAGAAACGAAGTGTATATGAAGGAATAGGATGAAGGGGTAAGACAGCATGATAGAGATCAAGAGAGATAAAAATGTAGAGGAGCGATGAGTTTTTTTTTTTTTTTTTTTTTTTTTTTTTTTTGATAGGGCGGAGTATCATATTTATAACACCTTCCCTGCTTTACCCTGTGAAACATTCTTCCAAAGTCACATCGCGGATTCATTGGGAACGATTATCGTCTGCATCGCTGATGCTGATTCTCCCATCTGTCGCAGAAATGCCTGGGTAAGCTCCAAGTTATCATCGCGAGAAATTGTATCGCGACAGACACCAAAGAAGGACCGATACGAACCAAGGGACGGTTAGATGAAAATTTTGGCCTGAATGTTTTCCTCAAACGCTATCACCTCATGGAACTCTTTCGCGACTGCGGAGGGCTTCAGAGCCGTAGCTCTATCTTCTCAGTTTCATACACGGTTGACTATGCCCCGTCTAAGTCTCAAAAGAAAGGCAACTCCAGGAACAATGACGACGCTGTGATCACAAAAAGAAAGACGAGGCAGAATCTTCCACAATTGCGGACAGCTAATCTCGATTACGAAAGAAGAAGTAGGGCAATGACGCGATTACGGGTCATCGGACGACAGTATCAAGCCCTGTTGAACAACTTTGGGCAGGGTATGATATGTTTCTTGCAGCCATGCTCCTTGACAGAGGAGCTGGACAAAGCTTCTGACAACATGGATGGACTGTGTGGAATGAGATGTATCAAGAAGTAGCTGACATATCAAAGGATCTACGACTTGAAGGAGGCTGACTTCAAAATATTGATCGAGCTACTGGAGGCCTCCCGGGGTCGAAACTTGCGTAATATTTGCACAAAGGCAAACTCGGTGGTGGACGAAATGGCCGTCAACCTCGGACTCAGAGATTGCGTTTGCAAGAAGTTGAAACTGAAGACATACTAACAATCCCCAAAGGATCTCCTATACTGGAGCTTTTGCTTAGTTCTAATCATTCTGCGCAAGACTATAGCTCGACAGCGTAGTGAAATGGCGCTGAAATTCGACTCCAAGTTCGCCAATTTTGGTTCATGGAACGGAGTATGGGCCGCAAGATGAGTATGCGTAAGGAATACAAATGCTACTTCTCGTTCTCTCATTTGTTCCATAAGTTAAATTGAGTATTAAAACATTGACTTCAGCTCAGTTGCATCGAGTCTGATAGAACAAGCTCCCCTGATGGTCGATAACAGAAGAAAAGAGATCTTGATGACATCCGCATCCCAAAGAAGCATTCTGCCATTCTCAAAAGAAAGATTCTCAGTCAAAGCTGCCATACAAACCACTTTGCCATCTGCGCCTGAGGTATGGTTCACCGTTAGCATGTGAATGATGTAAGGCTCTTTTGAACTCACGTTCCCGCCCGTGAACTGTCCATACTTCAAACCCCTCTCGCTAGATGGTCAATCTAAATATTCGTCAATGTATCGCTCCTGTTTCACGCTTTGCAACTGACAAACCTGTTCAGTTGTGCTACCCAATTCTCCCCGGATTGAGAGCAGTGTCCAGTTTTGCACCCCTCACAAAGCTCACAATCATGGGGACCATTGCGGCCACGGAATATTGGAGGCCTCTCCACGTGGATTCCATTCCATTGCCTTATCCAGTATACAATCCTCTCGGCGTATGACTGATCCAACACCGCCTGGTTGAGCCAGAGGCAAGGTCCGCAGCGTTGGCGGTAGATCCTCGCATTATACTTCTGCGCCGGAAAATGACGTATAGTGACTGCAATTTCCTTGCCGCCCATCCACGAGCTCTGCAAGCTCGATTACGGCACGAGAAGCAGCCCATGATGTGCGTGACACAAATTTTGGTGGACTTTTTGTGTCATCATAATTCTCATAGAACTCATAATGAAGGTCTGTTTCGACCAGCCAACGTGAGACCTGATCAAGAAGCCCTTTGTACATAAACCATACTGCTATAGATTTTCGTTTCTTGGCGGAAGGCATTGTTTGACTAAGGGTCAACACTGAATAACAGAGCTTTTTGATATTGAAGTAGAAGATTCAACAAAAGGTTCTGAGCGTAGGGTTATGAATAAGTGAAATGCGCTGATCAAGTGTTAATTTGAACGTCAAGGATGAATTGTCTGCCCCGGTTACAGCTTGGTTGGTCATTGAAATTACGAGAGACCGTAATGCCTAAATACGGGAACATGCACTTCCCACCTATTATCATCTTCACTGTAGATGGTACCGGAGGATACCCTGATGATTCATAAGGCTCAGACTAGTCCCAGATATGCGGTATCAGCCAGAGTTGTCTTTGGAATGGGCAATAAGTTCCATGATATGCGTAGTTTTGTTTTCGGGAGCAGCGAGTGAAATCACTCAGTTAATTGGCAGATCTATTTCCTAATTGAATTAAAACGACACTCCGTTTTTAAGACCAAGAAAGGAAAAGCGCACATCGGAAGATCTCTAATAGCCGGTCAATGCTTACCAGCGCATGGAAAGATATGTAAACTAACACGGCCTTTCAAAATTTGAATAGCAGAAATTATTCCTTCATTTACGACAAGGGGACTGCGCCCTCACATCTAGCGCATTCAGTGCACCTACCCTATCTCTTGACAGTGAAGACTCGGGTATCTAAGATAAGGTACTCCAAAGAATAAGGGATTGCAAATCAAACGTCGAATGATAAGAGAACATGAAAACATCAGTTCAGGATGTGATGATAAACGGGGCGGTTCAAAGGAATATAAGTATGCGCATGTCGCCGACTATCCCCGTTTAACTTGAAGTCTACGTCATTGATTCAAACGATACGGACCACTCCTCACGTCTCTTCAAACAGCAGCAACATCATGACTTTGTCGCAATTCAAGCCAGAGGCTCTTGGAAGCTTGTACACTCAGGAGCAGCTGGATCTCCTGGATTCCATCGACACACCGATCCCAAGGCATCAGTCACTATGTTTCCCTCCCACAGAGAATCGCCTGCGGAGACCAATCTCTTCCGGAAAGAGTCGGATGATGAGGGTGGAGGCGTTTCCTTTCATGCCTCGATGCAATGGGGGTAGCTAAATCATCGCTCGCCTAAAGTGGATGGTGTCTTTGGCTTATACTATACTGACTACATATTTTTCTATTGCTCTCTTTTTCAAGTACGATGAATTTCAACTAAAAAAAAAAAACAAAGCATAAGTGTTATCTCTGCACTACCCTTTACACGCGCTCCTCCGGTGCTTTTGAAGATTATCGTTGCGTGTAAAAGACGAGCCACATTCGTCACAAGTGTACTGTCTTTTAGGCCCTGGCTGATGATACGTTACGACATGTCGGCGCATATCCGTTTGTTCGGCTGTACGATGAACACAAAAAGGTTGTGGACATTTGACAGGTTTCAAGTGTATCCGAGCATGTTTCCTAGGAAATGTTAGATACAGCCTCGCGTTCGTTATAGACAAAAACGGTACCTCAAAAGATGTTTCTTGTGATCACCTGTTTCCCATTCACAATTCAGATACCGACAACGATACAATCCATCAGAAAGCAATACCATATGGTCTAGTGAAGGCATTTCTGCTTCTTCAAATTTGACCGTATTTCGAGATGCTGAGCCCGGCGGCTGTGACACACTTTCCTCTTCAGCTCTGCTTTTGATTGAATTCTCAGTCGATGCCATACTTTCACGGAATTCATGGAAACCCTCTCTTCCACCAGGAATCACATCTGGTTCTGGTCTCTACAGAGACAAACAATCCATGTAATCTCCAGTAGATTCTGATTGATTCAATATAGCCGTATCAGCCAGGCCGCTAATGCCATTCATCGGTTGAAAGGTTCCGAATGAGGGTTCTACAGGGGGTGCGGCACCACCTGTTGCGCCAGGAGCAATCGGATCAATTGTCACTAGTTGGGGAAGGTAACAGCGTTGTTCAAGCAACGGGTCAAGAAAGAAGTTTGGGCCTCCACCTTCATCTTCATCATCCGCATCCTGGCCAAAGAATGTGTTGTCCATGGCTAATGGCTAATAGTGAGTACGCAAAAGAAGACAGAGGACCGTAGGTTGAGAAAGCTTTATACCGACGAAAGACGCGAGTACTGACTTTCTAGCTGACTAATTCCTGACCAGATTGCTTGCACGGCTTTTTTGACAACTCATACTTTGTTCTTAGGGTAGCCTGTACGAGCCGTGAAAATCCACCGGTCAACTTTGGTCAACTACAAGGAGCCCAAAGCACTCTTCGAAAGTTGCCAATGAAGTTCCTCCACGTGTTTGCTACTCTTTCACCGCTCTTTCTCGTGCATGCTTTTCAATCTTGAGAATCAACACAAGTCTTCGCTCAGTATAAACCGGTTGATTGGTTGGATATTCAAAGATAGATCTTTAAACATCTTGGTTTGTATTTCATTTGCCATGAGATGTCGATGCAGACGTTATGTGATTGGCGAAAGCGCGAGGCTGGCTTGACCCATTTCCCGGGGCAAGGAGTCAAGGATGCATTCCGTGGTGCTACGCGGGTTGTTTTGGGGGAGTCAACTTCGTTCAAAGGTTGTCAGGAAGAGTTGTAAAGCCCATGCTCCTCAATGATGCCAAATAACCCGTGAATTCGAGGTGGCCTTGAAATGTCTAGTAGTGCTTCACGTGCACCGACGGGGGATGTTTCTACTTAATGTTCCTGGCGGCGTTTTAGTTTCGCTATCATCCGTATGCTAACTCTATTGAGATGTTAATGCTCGGTCACCTGATATCCAATAACGCAATACCCACATATGTAAGTTTTTCCACTTCCCGTTCGTAACTATTGATTTGGCTTTTAGTTTTGGGCATACCGCGGGCCTGTTGAAGCTCAAATCTTATCACAGCTATTCTGCCGTTCTCCATGCTCATATCATACGTCTCAAGTTGGTAGGCGCGGGGCTTCACGCCACTCATGTTGACGGTCAATTTGGTCAGGGTTGGACAAGATTAGGAAGCTTGATATCACACACAACCGAGACATACGACTTCAACGTATCGGATATCCTTGAAGTTTGTCTCTTTCTTATAATAAAATGGGCTTCACCATACCACGTGAAGAAGTGCATATGATGTATCAAATACGCGTGACCGTTGCGGAGTCTCACGCGCCAATCCCGCCGTGCGACGTGTACGTGAAGGAATATGCAAAATCGTGAGTCTGTTCAAATGCACGGTCCTCCTCAGTAAGCATTCTTAGACCCTTTCTTCCAGGTTCAACTTTTGTTTTCCTTTATAGAAATGCTTGCCCATACGTCGGCATTCATGATTCCACGGGCGCGGATTTAGCTTTTTTATCTCATCATGAGCATCGGCGAAGCTTCCGAAGATGCATTGAAAACCTAGAAGTTTCCAAGAATTATTGAGCTCAGATATTAGACTTCCACTTTACTGCGTGGGAGCAGACGAAGTTGAGCCCGATTTTCATAAGAAGACAGTCCAAAAAAGGATAGAAAATTTTGAGAGTCTGATTGATTTCAGCGGTGGTTTTGTGTGACTGTCTAGATTCTAGAGCTGATTATTGATATACCCTCAAGAGCCATATTCAACTTGTATTGCGGTGTTTCATGTTACCTAAGTATACCGCTAGACACTCTTTGGGACAAACTTGGTCGTAGCGCACCTGACCCACTCTATTTGTGGGTAAATGACATGGTTCATTCAATTAGTCAATGAACTGGCTCGTGATTGATTGCCTAGGTAATAAATACCAATATCATGCGACCTGTAATTCTGCTTTAGAGCTTCAATGTGATATTAAAGTGCCATATACATTGTGAATCTAGTAGAGTGTGCAGAACTCCACCGCAATGTAAGATTTGATTGTAGGCCCGGTCGACTCTCTCCAGGGTTCTTCACTTGGCGAGAAGCGCCATCATGAGAGCTATATACTCAAAACAAAAAGTTTCTAGTCTGTTCGTGAGAGCAATCATGCTTTAGATTGAGTACACAGGCTACGTATTTGCATTGAGTCTTTGATATGGTCACTCAATCATCTAGAGGCAAAATCATATTTTCTCGCGGAAATTTGCTCTCATCGCTTGTTCTGTTTGTGTGTGTTTTATTCCCTAAATCCAATAAGATAGACAAGCTATAGTCATAAAGCGACGTGTTCAGACACGGTCCTAAGTTGTTGAAGTTTGATAAAAAGGTTCGAAGGTAATTCATATTCATTCTGATAAGTGGTAACACAGGGCGTTTGCCATGAGTTGGAATCATTTAATTACTTGCTCATATTGCTCGTCTTGCACTCCTAAGACGATGTAACACTTTTTCCACCGTCTTCCGTCAATCTTTTTCGGATCTTGATTACTAAATATCCAGCACCTAGTCTACTCAAGCCTGGAGAGTCAGGGGTTTCTGCCGAAGAACACAATGCCGCACCAGGGGAGAACAGCAAGGCCTCACCCACGCGAAGATTGACAATTCGGTAGAACAATGAAAACTTGCCTGATATTTCGGGGGGCAGCTAAGCCTTCTTCAGTGGTGGCTGTTGTTTCCCCATTGGATTGTGTGCCCAAAGCTGCCGCGGCCACGTGCTCTTGTAATGCACGTAACCATTCTGGCGAGGAGAATCTGTGGACAACGGTCACCGAGCATAGACTGAGGAGATCGCTTGAAATGGTTGGCTCTTGGGTGGAAATGAGGATGCGGGCCCCAAGGTGGCGTTGCAACCTGACAGTTGAAAGAAGGGTGTCTGTAAAGTTGCGCGCTTCGACTGAATCTTTCATATACTACACATAGCACGTCAACAGCCATCGATATGAGATCCTATGCGTGAGACGCGAACCTTGTGGGCCTCATCGAGTGCAACTACTCGGCCAATTTTCGTGTCCTGCTCCATGAAGATTTCAAAGCAAATATTGAATAGGGAACAGGCCGTATCAGGAGAGATGCACGGGCAGGAAAGATCAATGATCGTCAATTGTGATGGCTGGTGAAGCAAATTAGTGTTTCGTTGCGATACTAGGGCTGACTGTCAGAGTTTAACCTTTGGTGCCCAGCTCGAGCCTGCGCATTGGGACTTTCCCTTGTTTTTGTTTCTCCCACCGGGTGGCTTTGCTTGCTGGGAAGGCATGAAGCTCTCAAGCGTCTCGAGACGCTGTTTCAACGGCTCAAGTTGACCAGGGAGAAGATCAGAATCAAGAACTCGCCTTTTGAATTCTTGGTAATCGAATTGGGACGCGTGCTCCTGCTGCAAAAGACGCATTTCCCGTAGAATACGCTGGACAGTATGCATGTACAAAGGTAGTGGCCCTTTATCTTGGCCCACAGCCATAAGATCGAGCATGCGCTTGGTGTTCAGATTAGCTTGATCTATCTGTAAAGGCTCCACTTTAATGTTGAACCTTGCGTAGGTCCCCTAAAATATATGTTAGAGAGAACAACATTTTGAGACCGCAGTCTGATTACCTTTATAGTTCTAATATTTGTTGGAGCACACAGAACTCTGACATTGATCTGAGGATGGGACGCGAGGAATGCAGCCTCACAAGGAGAGCCGCCACTATCGCAAATGAAAGTGTCATAGTGAAAAACGACAGCTGTCAAGGGATTTGAAAGTCTACCAGCCTTGGAAGGGATCAAACAGCCCTCCAGTATGCAGGATAACGTATGGCTTTTACCCGACCCCTGAGAGCCGCAGATGAAGGTACTCGATGGTGATGAAACATTGAAAAACAGTCGCGGGTCTTTTTCAAAAACCTGTTTGCGAGAAATTGGAACACCAGGTGCTTCCAGCTTTTTCAGTCCCCCCAACAGGCCAAACTGGGATGGGCGGTGATCGGAATGATTGAGAACTGGGCCAGTAAAGATTGGAGCCAGCACGATATCGTCGTCACGATCATCAGAATCATCAATCTTCAAGAGACTCAAGTGATATGCTAGATTCAGATCTAAATCCATGATCAGCTCTGTGGTCATATATAGCAAAAAAGCACACTTTTTTTCGAGAAAGATCCTCGAGGTAAATTGTTACGGACCACTGTGTTTTTCTTTGCATTTGGAGCTCGACATCTTCAAAAGCTATTAGCTGGAATTTCGGTCTGCTCTTAGATACTGGATATCTCTCCTATTTATGACCTGGACACATGTTCCTATTCGGTGAACCGCCACATCCCGAGATAACAGCGGTGTAGAAAACTCTTCGGTATGCGCTTTGCTCCGAGTTACAAGAACTATAAGCTCTGACGATGTATCCTTGGGCCATTGCTTGGGTTCTCATGCAGCGCGGTGATAAGATAGATAAGTTTGGTAGATGGATAGGAGACCTAGTACTGAATCGGGTCGCTAGACGACTTTCGATAGCGTAAGTCAGTAAGGAACATATCCACTTTACTGAATTTCCCATTTTCTGTATGAGCGGCCTCCCGCGTTGGCGGCCTCCCGCGTTGGCGGCCTCCCGCGTTGGCGGCCTCCCACATTGGTGGCCTCCCACATTGGTGGCCTCCCACATTGGTGGCCTCCCACATTGGTGGCCTCCCACATTGGTGGCCTCCCACATTGGTGGCCTCCCACATTGGCAGCTCTCGAAAATTAGCCTGCAGTTCGTATTTTATCAGTCCGGTCAATTGCAGGACACAAAAAGCTTATTATAAGTCGATCATACAGCTAGTTTGGTCTTGATCATGCGGAACTCACGTCTTTTTTGTGAGCGCCGGAATCCCTGCTCGCGTGATATCCAGCCGGATATGGGGCAGACGGTCACGTGCGAATGTGTTATACTTGTGAATCATTTCATCGTCCAGTCTAAACTTTGAATTTTCGGACTGACTTAGTGAAAGTCGGAAGCCAATCAAATAATCAATTCGTATGATTTTCTTGCAGGAAGGCGACAACTGCAAGCAATGGGACTCGTTTCATTCCGAGATGAAAATTCAGAATCACAGGAGGCTGTTTTTCAGCTCCTTGGGTGTGCTTATCGCACCCTCGCGGAGCCACAGGCTTTTTTCGTGTGGCGGAGTCTATTAAACCCCGGTCACACGGAAGGTAATCTCGAGACTGAAAAAGAAAATTTCGCCTCGTCTCCCCTTGAGACCCAGAAATTCCACGCACACTGGATGGATTCGATAAGCGAAACCAACTTAGAATCCAACCATCATGATCACCACGATCTACCAAAGTACACATCGCGGTTAAATGAAAAAGGACAAGAAAGCGGACAAGCACCGCAACGCACGGTTTCAACAATAAGCCTTGACCCTCCTCGATTTAAAGTTACCATCCTTTTTGGAGCATGCCATGGGATGGGCATTGGACGGACAAAAAAGGTTGCTGGCCATTTAGCTGCAAAGCAGATTTGTGATCAACTCAAGATAGAAATTTGAACACAATGGTGAACTTCACCGAAGCGTTGCCCTGACTACACACGTGCTGCGTTTCTGGCTTCACGCGTTGCGAAAGAATTGCCTCCGCTGTTCGAGAGCTCTGAGATACTGGCCCACGTGAAATTCTTAGATGGTCGACGATTGAGTCGATAATTAAGCGGTAATATGATGACGGCACCCTGTACACACCGCGAGGGTCAAAAAATTGATATTGTTAAACGTTGTCAGGAAGAACAAAATATATTTCACGAAATCCAGAAAGTTTACCTTCAACATAGCTCGTAGATCGCAATAAAAGAGACGGTAAGTGACATATCCACTCCGCTGCGACAGATGTCTCAACGATAGGCCCACATGTTCGATAGAACGGATATGAGGGTAGTAGAAAATACTATCATTATAGCTCTATCAGACACCATGTTCTTCGTATACCTAGAATTGTACCAGTACGATGTGCGGTCGGTTTGGTTGGATTGCTAGGTCGCGGATACGATACCGTAATTTCCGGTGCCTACGACATAGTATATTTACCTACTGCTACCTCTATCTCGGCCTGCAAATTCTCAAGTACACTGGTCCAAACTGGCGCCCAACTACGATATAGGCGGTGGGTGACGACCAATGATGAGTAGACGCGTGGTTGGGCGATATTGAACAACTCTCTGACCGCTGGTTTGCCCCGATAGGTTATTTGGTTAGGGGCCTGGCCACCGATTGAAATAGGCTATTTATTGCTAGCTTGAGATCCTCAAAGTACACTTTATACCAACCCGCTCGATCTCCATTTGAGAAGGTTGACTATGGAGTCGTGGCCGGGCGGTGATATGCCAGCTTCGATTGAAGCCGAGCTTCCAATTGAGCTGGAAGGTGCGGCTGCGAGTAATCTTCCGACCCATGCGACTCCTACAACGTTCGATATTTACATCTGCAACATCCCTAGCGAAAGCCAACAGCAAGAAACATTCAACCCCGAGTCTGAGATTCTAGGTACTAGCGGGATCCCGTCTGCTACTCTTCAGGATATAATCGAAGCAAATGATTCTCTGTAGAGCAATCTTTGCGTTGAATTTTTGATGAGGGAAAGCGAGATATCTGGCGGTCTTCATACGAATCTGGCTAGTGTTCCGGGTGCAGTGATCAGTACCAGCAGTGCTGAGTCTGCAACTCATGATGTAGTGAGGACTGCGAACTGGAGATCCGAAGAAGCTGAGATGCCTTCGGATGAATCAGTCAACCCTTCACTCCATGATGGATTGTACTACTGCCAATACGAGGGATGTCAAAAGTTGCAGGGCTTTACTCTTAAATGCCAGTTGAAGTAGGTTCATGTCAGTTTCCGCTTCGCAAATCTGCTGAAAATTCTCAGAAAGCATACCAAGATTCATACTCTACCTTTCAAATGTCCCCGTTGCGCATACGCATCAGCGGAAAAAAAGGGCGTTGATCGGCACATCAAGGTTGCTCACAAGAAATTGGCCAGGGAACGCTGGGGATGCTTGGAACCAACCGTTTGCGCTGTATGTCAGGAAAAGTTCACGAGAGAAGACAACTTTCAGAAACACTTTAAGGCAAGACATGTCAGTTAGATTAAGCTATTATGGTCAGTTGGTATGGTCCGGGGAATCTTTGTTTATCATTGCTTTATCAATTTGTGATCTTTCTTTTGCTGCCTTGCTTCATATCGAGTCTCTGCTATTCCATATCCCTTTTTTTAATCCTTTGTACCAAACTAGACACCTCATAGACTTGATGTGTAATTTCCCTTCCCATATATAGAGGCAAGTCTTCGCACAGGCAATTCGACAACTTGCCTTCAACACGACTCCAACTGCGTCGTTGCGGACCGGATGGCGAAGCAGGCCGCCAGTCCAAGCAAATCTCAACCCTTCCCCCGCTACTCAAAATAGAGAGGACGTTCATCCATAGTGACGTCACCGATCAGTGGAAGCATGAATGGAGGATATCCAATAAAGCTGGTTGTTTGCGGAAGATTGACGACACCGGCACATTTAAGGTAACAAAAGAGCCCATGACGCATCTTTGGAGATTATGGTATATATACAAGCAATTACAGTCATGCTGGCTGGGGGAAGGAAACGCAGCCGCCGCAGAAGTGACAAAAAATAACAAGGAGGAAGGAAGGCAGGTTAGAAGTTAATTCTGTTCATCATTTAAGCAACTTTGAGATAAATGAACACCGCTCAATCTTTGTTATCAATAGGTGTTCGTAATGAAAGGCTCAGTGCATGTGGCAGATGGTGCTAAGTGTAGCCAGAGAGAGAAACACCTCCGTTTTCCGGGTCAGAAATACCATCAAAGTCCGGTGCGGTGTCAATGTTCCCGCTAACTTCTGTGTTGGTGAAAATGGCGCGTCTGTTGTGCTGAAATCCTAAAACTATACTCGGTAGAGTCCCAGGAGTCTCATCTGATACCTCGAGTGAATAGGAACCGAAGCTAGGCCCTCGGGTATCCGTGATGTTCGTTATCGAATCCGGATGCCATCGTTTCGATGGCACGCATTGAATGACATGACTGAACACTTGCTCGCGAATGGTTTCCGTCATTTTATTCACGATATTCCTCTGTTGCATGGCTGTGGGGCATTTCCGGTCCAATTGTTCAACATTTGGTGGACTCCACTTTGTCCAAATCTTTCGGTGTGAGGAAGATACCATCACGCGGGCTGGATGATATTCGAAGTACAGTTCACAGCAGAAACAGGCCGGCTTACTACAAGCAATAAACCGATCCTCGCCCGCGAATGTTTTTCGCAGCTTCCAAAAAATACTCCAAGACCTGAAGCTCTGCATGCACTTCAAGCGTGGAGCCATTGTACTGACGGATAAAGGTGTCAAATATACCTGCTACCTTGTGCAGGTGCAGAAGGCCCTCCTTCAGAGAATCCTTGTCTTCGCTATCCTTCTTGAACATTCGATTCAAGATCCCGCGAAGGTTGACGTGGGAGTCACACATAGGCGTTGGTACGGCAGGTGGGGCGTATATAGGACAAACAGCATGATTGTCAAGAAGGTGTCTCAGTTCCTCAGTGTCCTGAATCAGCTCACTTGAAGCCCGTATGTGATGTGCAAGTCTCCCGATATAATGTCGCATCATGATAAAACATGACCTTTTGCTCGTAGGATTCAACCCTTTCTCTTCCTCCACACCCCGTCTCTCCAGCTCCTTCACTAGTGATGAATGGCGATTGTCATGCGCGAAATTGCAGAGCGCGAAGTTATCATCAAAATTCATGGCCGTGTTAAGCCAGGCAACCAAATCTAAAGAATTAGATCGGTTGATGCGTGAGAAGAGTGAAATAGTGAGCTTACCGGATGCTGCAATGTGTCCGCTCAGCTTGGAAAGACAATCTTTGGCGTATCTGCGAAGGCATCTCTTTTCTTCGTCGACACGTTCAGAAGCAAATTTGATGCATCTTGTTGCGAATTGCGACTCGCTGTAGACATTCCGTGTGCCGACCGGGTGGGTGATGGCCCGCAAAGTATCTAAGGCGGTGTGGAGAAACGCGACGATTTTGTCTGTCTCTCTGTTCGAAGCAACACAGAAGTTATAACAGGTATCAAGCTCTTCGAGGCCGATTGCAGTGCATGTGCTGCCTCCCTTTCTGAAATCACAGATATAACAGAGGTTTTGCAAAAATCGCCGACTTTTAGCCTGCCTGACATCGACGTCAAACGACAGAGGGGTGTGGCTGCCGCGTGTCTGTCCAAGTGCATGCAAGAGAAACAATTGCTCGTAAAATCGACCGAGAAGTCTTTGGTATGGGTCAAATCTCGGGCGACCAACGCGATTTGGGTCAATTTCTAGAGATCCTTTTAAGGATGCTGAAGTCATATTTTTGGACGGTTCCTCTCTTTCTTGGGCGCAATGTAATTTGAATTAAGTATCAGTATAATAGCAGGTTTGAACACAAGCATGAGAAAAGGAGATATTTATGGGCTGAAGGCTAGTTTTCAGCACCAAACCGAGCAGACAGTACCATCTGAATGATTGGCTCCTGGCCATTTTCTATTCGGCCCATTGTCGACCTAGGACTGCATGTCAAAGGCCGTCATGCGGGAGCTGGATCTGATGACAGATTTGTGGATGAATTGAATTGTCAGTGCACCTGCCCCGCCTTTCTCAAATGTACGCCAATCAAATGGTGGGACGGAAATGAAGATTTCGGTGCTTATGGCAGTTTGCTTGTGCTTTATATTGTTTCGGTTCTAGTGCCAATCTTTTGAAAACTGCTCGCCGGTCTTTTAAGGATTTGCCTACTCCGTACACGATGTTTAGATGCTCGTGTAGTGGAGTATAAACATTAATACTTTATTGATTTTTATCCACGTAAAGTGAGTGGATTTGGCTTCACATTTGATACCTTGAAATATCCGAGAAGCAGAAGGGCGATTCGAGATTCAAATTTATGAAGGGATTCCAAGCGAACTTGAGTCCTTGAGATTGAACTTTCCCAGATAGCCTAGAGATGCTGAAAGAGATGGCCCCAAAGCGAGTTTAGCCCCAAAAAACCGGATGGTAACAGTCAAAAATACAGTGGGCGCTAGGTTGAAGGAGAAAGAGCTCCGGGTGACATCGACTCCGAGAACTGTCCACGGTCGTGCAGCTTTGAATGAATTAAGAGTAGCCTGAGCCCCTAAAAAGGCAGCAGGGTGATCCACACCTCGATAGCACAAGCCTGGTAATACTGTATGGCTATGAATCGACCATTTCTCTCTGCTATGAATGACTAGATATATCGCATCTTACCAGAAAGATTCTGCATCTTGCACGTTGCGTATATTCAGTTATGTCCTCTGTTTATTTTGTCCAAAGCAGGAAAAATACATAAATACACCATATGGGTATCGGATACGAAGAAATACTCGAGAGTAAAACCTTGATTAGACACCTTTGACTGCCGTGGAAGCCGAGCGTAGCCTCAGACACAAAACAACCCGGCCAGTTTGGCAAATTTGAATAACTTCTGTAGATCAATGAAAGAAGTGCGCATCCGTTGGGGTTGGTACTTGACAGCAATAGTGGTTGATCAGTGATCATGAAATGGCCACTAAAGATAGAAGGTTTCGACGTAAAGCGTACTCTTTGCTTCCCGCCTTTGCATGGTATTGCCAGTGTTTTGCATGGACGGCCTCCCGCATGGACGGCCTCCCGCATGGATGGCCTCCCGCATGGACGGCCTCCCGCATGGATGGCCTCCCGCATGGACGGCCTCCCGCATGGACGGCCTCCCGCATGGATGGCCTCCCGCATGGATGGCCTCCCGCATGGACGGCCTCCCGCATGGACGGCCTCCCGCATGGATGGCCTCCCGCATGGACCGACCACCTTCTCGGAATTCATGGAATTATTGCGAATATAGCTTTCAGCATTACAACAGAAGCAAGACATAAAACCAGGCGTATGCATAAAACTACATTGCTCCTTGCTTGCTTCCTTGCTTGCAGCTCTCGTTCTTTTCAGACCCAAATAATATAAACTGCCAAAGATATATCTGTTTCCGCTATGATTATATCGCTCTGAACTTGTGGTTTCTCTAGTGGTCTATCGCTAATCATTTTTGACTATGACTTTGACAAATTTTAAGTCGGACGCACTTGATGCCCTTTGCACACAAGAGCAGCTCGATCTTTTGGATTCCGTGGATACTCTTCGATCGCAAGGAATCAGCCATTATGTCTCTCTCCCACAAATCATTGTGTGCGGGGATCAATCTTCCGGCAAAAGCTCTGTCCTCGAAGCTATTTCCGGTGTTTCGTTTCCAGTGAAAAGCAATCTCTGTACAAGATTTCCCACGGAGCTTGTGCTTCGGAAGAATTCTCAGGTTGGGGTTCGAGTCTCGATAGTACCCCATCACTCTCGAAGTGAAGCAGAGCAACAGTCGCTGGGTAGTTTTTGTGAACAACTCGGTGGATTTGATGGTCTCGCGATTCTGATCGAGAACGCCAAGGCGGCAATGGGCATCTCTACGCACGGGAAAGCTTTCTCCAATGATTTGCTTCGGGTTGAGATATCGGGTCCCGATCGTCCACATCTAACAATCGTTGATCTTCCGGGTCTTATCCACTCTGAGACACGACAGCAATCGGCTGCCGATGTACAATTGGTGCAAAGTGTGGTTCAGTCGTACATGAGCCAGCCACGGAGTATCATTCTGGCGGTGGTATCCGCAAAGAACGACTTCGCCAACCAGATCATCTTACGCCTAGCGCGAGACGCAGACCCTTCAGGAAACCGGACCTTGGGGGTGATCACCAAGCCTGATATTCTGGTAGCCGGATCCGAGAGTGAGGCATCGTTCATATCACTCGCTAAGAACCAAGATGTGGAGTTCCGCCTGGGGTGGCATGTGTTGAAGAATATGGATTCTGAAAGGGGTCACTGGGATCTGTCCGAGCGAGATGTTCAAGAATGGAAATTCTTTTCTCGAGGGATCTGGGAAGACATGCCTCGGTCTCTCGTGGGTGTGAACACTTTGCGCACTCGTCTGAGCAAGCTGCTTCTCGGGCAAATTGCAGCCGAATTGCCTAGCCTCATCGAGGAGATCAACGCCAAGAGCGATGTGTGTCGAGCTCAGTTAAGTAAGCTCGGTCAACCTCGAGCCACACTGAATGCACAAAGATCATATCTCTTTCACATCAGCCAATCGTTTCAATCCCTAGTCAAGACTGCGGTGGACGGGACATACAATGAACCTTTTTTCGAACCTGCCCAAACCGACGTTGGGTATAAAAGACGAATTCGCGCGGTGATCCAGAATCTGAATGCGGAGTTTGCAGCAAATCTCGCACGATACGGTCATTATCGTCAGCTAGACAGCACAGAGGAAAACGATGCTATCGGCGAGCATCAAATTCAAATATCACGGGATGACTATCTTGATGACATTGGTACACTATTGGAGAGGACACGCGGTCGTGAATTACCGGGCACTTATGATCCGATGATCACCAGAGATCTGTTCCAGGACCACAGCCGACCGTGGGAGGGCATATCCCGCAACCATGTTATCGCCGCTTGGGTTGCCGCGAAAGAGTTCCTCCAGCAAGTAGTCACATATGTCGCAGATAAGGCTACTTCCACCGCCTTGTTTGACAAAGTCATCCTTCCAGCCCTAATTGAATTACGGGAAACGTTGGAGCAAGGGACTGCAGAACTGCTTGCTCCCCATCAGCAGCGGCATCCTATCACATACAACCATTATTTTACCGAGACACTTCAGCACACACGTAATGGCCGTCAAAAAGAGCAGTTGCGCGAGGCGCTCAAGCGTCACTTCAAGGTTGACCATTTACCAAGTGCATACGGGACACGTGATTCTGTTGACCTTCGTGCGCTCTTTGATTCCCTCGTTAGGAGTACCGAACCGAACATGACAAAGTATGCGTCAGAGGAAGCTCTAGATTGCATGCTAGCGTATTACAAGGTAGTCGAGGCTAGACTCTAGTCTTGTTCCAAGGCTGACAGATGACTTTTTGTTCGCAGGTTGCTTTGAAACGCTTCGTGGACGACATTGCCACAGAAGTTGTTGAAATGAAGCTTCTTTGCACTCTGCCTGGCATTTTCAACCCTGTGACTGCTTTCGACATGTCTGACGAGCTGGTGACGCAAATTGCAGGCGAGAGCGAGGAAAGCAGAAGTCTTCGCGAACAGCTGAATAAGAAACTACGTGTTCTCGCCAAAGGTTCCGACACTTGCCGGCGATTTGTTGGTATCAGGGGGTTGGGTAAGAAGCTCGCTACACCATCTCGTATTGAAACTAACTCAATCAAGAACTCCAAAATGAAAGCAGCGAGTCAAACAATCCACGTGCTACCCAATTTTCAAGTGGCTCTCGGAGCCCTTTTGAGGAAGTTGAAAACACTGCGATCCCCGAACATGACGACCAAAATGAATACTCGGAGTCTTTGAGTTCTGGTAATGCGGCAGCCGCCGTGCCCGATGCTCTGGACTGCCCCGAGCCCGAGCCCGAGCCCGCGGTTGATTCCTTGGAACTTCCCGAAGAGTCAACTTCTAAGTATGCGAAAGGATCGGCTAAAAAGAAAAGCAGGAAATCTAGGCCACAAGCTTACGATGAAGTATAGATAGATTGTTTGACATTCAACGGCATTGAAATTTGACGTCATATATCTGATCAATATCTCAAAGTGCTTACATTTTGCTAATGATTGGTCCAAAGTAAATCAATTTGGATAGTTGGTTTTAGCACAGTTTCCGTTGGATAACGTGAGGCTATGCGGATAGCCATTCAAAACAATCCATCGATTCACCATGAAAGAGAGCTCAGCGTAGCTTCTAGAGGAAGTAGGATCGACTGACGGGAAATTTAGGAAGAATGATTGAATTTGCCAGGGCATTTTAAAATTTATGAGACGACGAACGTGCAGCGTTCTTGACATATGACCACGCTGGAAGAATTGGCCAATTGAGAGACCCTTAACCGCCTCAAGCATAGGTCAGCGCATTTCCTAAGTTGTAACCCCCAGGTCAATGGCAAGAGATTAAGATATATTCCAACCTGTCTCAGGGATCACCTTCGCATCATTCCGGGTCATTGGGCGAGATCGCAAAACTGAAAGTTCTTTCTCATAGAGTTAGTTCCCTATTACTGAAAAGCAGTGAATCCTAGCTCTATAACCGACTTCAACTATCTCAACTCGCAGTAATCTTGAATTTTCCTCTACGAGATGACCAAACCCCGTGCTATAAATAAACCCCCCGCCCCCGCCCCCCAAATACACTTGGAGACAGCCCGTTCAAGTGTAGATTTGGGTCGCAATCTCTAGATTTCGTCCGAACGTTTTTGAAATAGCTACATATTTCTACTTTGGCACTGGTCTCCTGGTAGCTCTTTCAATAATAAAAAAAGCAAATAAATAATCCATGATCTTAGTTTTGGCTGAATATTTCTCTTGTATAATAGTTCACATCTGTGAATTCCCAACTCAACAAAGTCTTTCCATTACGTCTTGTTCTAGTATTCAAAAAAATAAAACCATCCAAGCGCAACCTCGTGGATTACCTTCGATCTTAGCAACGATATGTATAATTCAAGACTTCTCGAGTAAATCAATGTATTGACGTTAAACCCTTACTTCTGAGTTACTTCAATGTTACCGTATCAAGGATAGTTCGGGATACAGTATTTCCAACAAATGCAGAGTAAAACTTGATTTTTTGATAGTATTTTAGTTGTATTTTGATTGTCTAGACTGACGCCACGGATGTAAGTGTTGTTCGTTGTGCGCTTGCATTTGATGCTGGTCGGTAGCTGCAGGTGCTGCGCCCGACTGCAGTCTAATATGCACTGCGGCTCGGAACCCTTGTCCATTTAATTGGCGTTGAATGTTTTGTAGAATGCGTAAGGCAGTTGTATTGTTGGGGAGCTGTGTGGGTCACAATCCAATAATATAGATACAGGTCTAACGCTAATGCATGAGTAGTGCGTATCAGGATGACAGAACAATACCATCAAAACAGGTGCTCCAACAGAATGGAAGGATGACAAGCAGGCGGACGGACTGAATACTTATATGCCTATATTCATTGGTTGCAGCTTTGTGTTAGTGACCTGTCATTTTTGGGACTGTCCAGCATATGATTGCGTGGGTTTAGTGGGTCAGAACGAATTCCACAAGGCTGTCTTGAGAAATGCTCCCTATTGAGGGTAAGTACCGATCCCGCTTCTAGATAAGTACACCTTTAACCTGAATTTTTCTTCTACAGCCTGTTTTTCCATTCTGCCACATCGCCGCCAGCCTCACATCCAGCTTTAATCAAAATCCACCGACGTCTTTCAGCTTTGGGTCATAAAATATTGTTGTTCTGAAGACACTTACAGCTGGACGGTCCATCTTTGTCGTTCTTCAGCAACTCCCACAATGCATCGTGGAAATGATAAGCGATCCAGGGGCTATATGGCCAATCGAGGGGGATCCTCCAACAAAAGAAATTACAGTCAAGCATCATCACCTTGCGAGCATTTTCAACGCGGAAGGTGTCGTTATGGTAGCAAATGCAAATACTCTCATCAAATGGCCGGGGTCGCCGAGTTCCAGTCAAAATCGGCCGTTAACCAACGAACGCCTGCCAACCCAGAGGCTCGGAATCGATACTTCGATTGGAAAAGACTTCTTCGTGAGGGTCCCGTGCGAACCGGTCATATTCAAAGGGGAAATGATACTCTGGCCGATTTTTGGAATGGGGCTCTCAAAATCTTGGAAAGCAAAAGTACCGAGGATCATCAGTTCCTCGCCAAAGATCTTGTGAACGATGAGTTACGAGGGTTTGCATTTATCCTAGCAACTGCTCAGTCGGACATTTTACCAAATTTCGATCAGATCTCGTCTCACCACGAGGCCTTTTTGAAAGTTATTACTCATGCTTCTCTGTTGAGCTGTCTGTCCGTTGATACTTTTGTTGGCACTTTTTACACATACTTCAGTGGTACCAATGGAGATCGAGCAATCACATACCTCTCAGGCATCTCCCAGAAGTTGATGGCTTGGCAGGATAGCACCGAGGTTACCCCAATGGTATCCTTGAGTATGTTAAATTTGATATTGAACGTTCTTTACCAGCTGTTGTCAAGGGTCCGTCATTCTCGATTCCACGCCGAACTTCCTCGGTTGCTCGACCTCACCCACGCGATGAAATCCAAGATCACCGAAACAAGCTCCCAAGCCGACCTGGATGGAATTGAGAGCAGAACCGAAATATTGACAAATCTGGTCAACAACGCGAACCGCAGTCTGTGTGCACCAAAGCCACAAGAAGACATTTCCCCGAAGAGTAATCAGGTCATGTCGTCCTTTCCAATGGACTTGCAGATCCCTGGTGGAAGACACGACAATGACCTAGCCGAGATCTCTCGAATTCAAATCCTTCCGACCCATGGGGAGATTTTGAGCGGTGATACAGAATATCTACCCTCTACCAACTTCCTCCAGTCCCACATTTTGACCGATCCATTGCAGCGATACATTGATTCAACATTCCGGCTCTTACGCCATGATATCTTTGCCTCGGCCAAAGATGTCCTCAGAGATCTCCTGCAACAGAATGATTTGACCCAAGTCCTCCACCGCTTGGGTAAGGCCAATGGGGCGAATTTCTACCTGGGGGCACGTGTCCGACACGTCTTTATCAATGAGAGAAATGAGCTTGAAGCAACTTTATCATTCCATCCACCGCCAGAATTGCGCAAGAAAACTTCAAGCGAGCAGTGCATATGGTGGCAAGGCTCCAGTCGGTTAGATCAGGGGAGCTTGGTGTGTTTCTTGCCATCGCAAGGAACGAACAGAAGGATCATCTTTCTTGAGGTCACTGAAAAAAATTGTTCGAAGAATCGAGGGCATCAGAACAGCAGCAGTCTGGTCTCAGAGAAGTTCGCGTCCAGTATCACAGTGAAGCTTGCATCGTTTCAACAATCGGAATTGCTGCTCCTGAGCTATCTCTACAGCAAGAAGGTTCCTGGGATCCTCGTCGACTTCCATGGGATGATCCCTGCGACATTCATGCCAATTCTGAAGAATCTACAGCGAATTGAACGCGAAGGAGAATTATCATTTCAAAAGTGGATCCTGCCAGGCCGGTCAAATGACGGAGCTGGTCATATAATACCCCCACCGGCGTATGCACGCAGAAATGGGTTTGTATTTCCACTGACTTCCATCACGAAGCTGGGAGTTGCGAGCGCCGCCCTGGACCCAAGAGCCCCGGAGTCTATCGACCTCTTGAGATTGGAAAATCAGACTGGACTCGACTATGGTCAGTGTCAGGCTCTTATCGCGGCTCTCACTCGAGAATATGCCCTCATCCAAGGCCCGCCAGGCACTGGAAAGTCGTACTTGGGAGTGAAGATTGTTCAGGCGCTCCTCGAGGTCAAGCGCGATGCAAATCTCGGCCCGATAATGGTGATGTGAGAAAATTCCTATAATACGTCGATTTACAACTAATTGTGGGCATAGCTGTTATACCAACCATGCCTTAGACCAGTTCCTGAAACATCTTCTTGATGTTGGGATCGAGAAGATCATACGCATTGGTGGTCGTAGTCAGGCTGCTGAGCTCGAAGGAAAGAACCTTCGGGTCATTAGCAAGGACATTGCGAAGACAAGAGTAGAATCTCAAACACTTGGCATGTCCTATGGAGCTATTGATTCTTGCATGAATGCTGCTGGAAGCTGCTTGAAACCTCTCCACCAGTCCCACAAAGGTTTATCTTGGAACGCGATAGAGCCCAGCTTGAGACGCAGATGGCCCGGCATACATCGACAGTTTGAAAAACAGGACGAAGAGGGATTTACAACAGCCAGAACGGATGTACTTCTTAACTGGCTCGGTTTAAAGTCAATGAAGACACAGGAAGATAATCACGACGATGGAATTAACGAGGTGCGCTTGCAAGAACTGACACGTGCTGCAAATAGAGATATTCACACTCTCACCATGTCGGATCGCCAAGTTCTCGCAAACAGCTGGTTCAGAGAGCGGCAGGAAGCTGGGGCTGCTTCGCTTTTTGAGGCTGTTGATCAGGCAATGTCCCATCGCCGAGACATCAACGCTGTTCATGAGGAGATTGACCGCCGAGCTCTGGTTCAAGCAGACGTGATAGGAATTACTACCACCGCACTTGCACGACACGTTGAGACCCTACGGCGTATCAACGTCAGGGCCATGATATGCGAGGAGGCCGCCGAGGTGATGGAAGCCCACATTATCTCGGCTTTAATGCCTGGTGTTGAACACTTCATCCAGATTGGGGATCATAGACAACTGCGGCCGCAGATTCAAAACCACTCGCTCAGTATTGAATCGTCCTCAGGGAAAAAATGGCAGCTAGACCGAAGTCAGTTTGAACGGCGCGCTGTTGGCGAGCCAGGTCTAAGCCCAGTCCCCGTTGCACAACTCAACATACAGCGAAGAATGAGGCCAGAGATTTCGCAGCTTATTCGCAGTGTCTACCCACGCCTCGAAGATCATGAATGTGTAATGACCCTGCCGAAGGTTGTGGGAATGCGTGACAATCTCTTTTGGCTCGATCATCGCCACGACGAAGACTCGAGAGATAACGGCAGCCGTGTTAAGTCTCATGGCAACCAATGGGAGGTCGATATGGCAACCGCCATGGTTCGGCATCTCGTTAGACAAGGAGAGTATACGAGTACAGACATTGCTCTGTTAACCCCATACACGGGACAGTTACGAAAGCTCAGAGCATCGCTCAGCAATGACTTCGAGATCTGTCTAAGCGAGCGGGACTTGGAGACATTGGCTGCGGATGGGATAGAGAACCATGGCACTGGGATTGTCGAATCGAAGAACCCGGAATCGACCGAGAAAAAGACGCTTCTTCAAACGCTCCGTCTTGCCACAGTAGACAACTTCCAAGGCGAGGAAGCAAAGGTTATCATTGTCTCTCTTGTTCGCAGTAACTCACAACACAAAGTCGGCTTCCTTCGCACTCAAAATCGCATCAACGTACTCCTGAGCCGAGCCCAGCACGGCATGTACATTATTGGGAACTCCGAGACATACCTCAATGTTAAAATGTGGGCGGATGTCCACTCTCAACTTGCCCGCGCAAGTGCTGTGGGCACGGAGCTGGCTCTCTGCTGTCCTCGTCATCCTGAAACTCCCATCCTTTGCTCCGAACCCCATGACTTTGAGCGAAAAAGTCCTGCAGGGGGGGTGCAGTCTCCCATGTGCCCGTCGCCTCGAGCCATGTGGGCACCAGTGCCAAGCTATGTGCCACTCGGCGCTCATGCATGATGGATTCTCATGTGAGAAGGCTTGCCCTCGCATTCGATCGAGCTGCCAGCACGAATGTCCTAAGGTTTGTGGTGAGGATTGTGGACCTTGTTTGACTAAGATTCACGATGTAGAGCTGCTCTGCGGACATATCAAAAAGACCATCCTCTGCCACCAAATGTCCGACTTAGGAAGCCTCAAGTGTGACGCTCAGGTTGGAAAGATCATTCCTAGATGTGGCCATATTGTTCAGGTGAGCTGTTTCAAAGACATCACTTCATCAGATTTCCGTTGCCCTGCACCATGCACGGAACTTCTCGCGTGTGGTCATAAGTGCAGTGGAGATTGTGCGAATTGTCTTGATGATGTGAGTGATGAAACACGTGTATTCAAGCACATCAGTTGCACAAAAATCTGTGACCGTCCATATGGCATTTGCAATCATCGATGTCCTAAGACGTGTCATGATGGGGAAAAGTGCCGTCCTTGTGATGCTAAATGCGAGGTGAGAGACATCAAAAACTCTCCTTTTCGGAAATTCTAATATTTTGCACAGGTTCAATGCTCACATTCTACATGTGATTCCACTTGCGGGACGGCATGTGCGCCATGCATTGAGAGGTGCACCTGGTCCTGCATTCACCAAGGCTCATGCTCGATGCCTTGCGCTGCGCCGTGCAATCGACTCCCGTGTGATGAGCGATGCACTGAGGCTCTCAGTTGTGGTCATCAATGCCCCAGTCTCTGCGGGGAAGATTGTCCCGACGATCTATGCCAAAACTGCGGCAATAAGGGAGATGCCCGTGTTGATTTCCTCGAGTGGAAGACATACTCTGAGATCAATCTCGATGAGACTCCCATCATCGTGCTCGGATGCGGCCATTTCTTCACAAGTGAATCGGTTGATGGATTTATTGGTATGGACAAAACTTACACGAGAGACAAAGATGGCACTTTCGACGGTCTCCAAACCTCTTCTTCTCTCGCGAGTGCCGTCCCATCGTGTCCGGACTGCAAAACATCTATTCGACAATTCGTGACCAAACGTTACAATCGTGTGATCAACCGTGCTGTCATGGACGAAATTTCCAAGCGGTTCCTCTCTAAGGGCCTTGCTGAGCTCCAAGGACTGGAATCGCGCCTCAATGACATTGAAGAGGGGCTGGATTTGAAGCGGACAAAATTCTTCACGTCGAGCCCTCATTTAGAGCTCAGGTTTCGATATGCGGATTGTCAGCGTCTAGGGGCGGAGGCTTCAACTCTCAGCAAAACTATGAGAGCCGAGAATCAGCCAATCAGACGACTTATGGATGCAATTTCCATTTGTAAAAAAAGATCAAAAGGCGATATATCCGTTCTTTCGGCGCGCATGGAAGGGATGACCATCGCCTCCCACGATACCGATAATCAAATTACCACCAGCGCTCGACTCATTCAGATCAAGATCCAGGAGCTGGAGTTGAGCGATACGATGAAGTTGATAGGCTCGCGCAAGGGTTCCACAATGGATCCAGTGCTCGAAGTCCCGGGGCTATCATTGAGATTAGCTCAACTGCTGGAAGAATGCCGAGATTTGATCACTCAAGCCCATCAAGCAAGTCTCTTACGCATCGCTATCACAGGCACTATTTCGTTCGCCAAGATATCTCAGCTAAATTGGTATCATTCTCGAATTTATCCGACTGGAAGTGGGGATTCAGAAAAAGTACCTTGCCTCGAAAAGCCCGTGACTTATCTTGAAAATGCTCGCGGTTTACTTTCCACCGCATTGAATCTCTGCGACGAGATCGGAAATTGCCCCGAGCTTCGAGAACAAGTCCAGGGGATGGTTCGTCTCTATGAGGGACCACGGTATGAGACGGTAACTTTAGAGGAAGTTCAAGCGATCAAAACGGCCATGGTCGGCGGACGAGGCGGAATGGCAACGAACTCTGGGCATTGGTACAATTGCGCCAATGGGCATCCAGTGAGTGAAATTCCCATTACTAGAACCGACATGTTTTATCTCAAGGCCCAGTCTAACTCAAAATCTTTGCTCTAGTTTGCCATTGGGGAGTGTGGTATGCCAATGGAGCAAGCCCGGTGTCCCGAGTGTGGATCACCGATTGGTGGGCACAATCACATGGCGGTTGAAGGCGTCAGTCGAGCAACGGAGATGGAGTAAATCTCAAAACGAGATGGATACACCATGCTGCTGCTTTAAGTTATTTTTCTCATTGCTGTGCTGGTTGCTTTCTGTGTAGTGATCGTTTAATGGACTGCTGTGCCTACTTCTCCTCTAATTAGCTGGATTTTGCATTTCTGTGAGACCTCGGGACACGTCATTACCACGATCAGTGGATTATTTTCTGATACCCTTTCTTCACGCTGTAGGACTTGAAATATTTCAAGCTGAATGCTCCAGGATTAGGAGAAAGTGGTTCGTGGCAACCTCCAGGTATCGGCTTGTACATGCCAGCCCTTTCCAGGAGGAATTCAACCATAGCCCATATTGCCAATGCCACATTCGAATAACATGCTCGAACTAATGAGATCCCAAAACAGACATTGAGTAGGCCGTCGTCCATGGTGTCCTTTGCCCCGTGCTCATACTGGTTATCCGGGTCAATGGAATCTAACCTTTGGATCACTGAGAGTAAGTTGCGAGGTCCAGATATGATGAAACGAATGATGAGCGAGGTATAGTGAGACGTGACGGCTAGAGATACTATGCCTGGTCTGCGTTAGGCTTGCATGTTTCGGCTATCAAACTTTGAGTTGACTGCCCTTGTCCAAATTGAGTATATAGGGACCGAGCCCGTCGCCGACTTGATTGAACAAAGTTTCCAATGATCGAAGACCTACGGGTGGAAAACCTTTCAACAGATTGCCTAATATGAGGAGAATCCGGGAGGTATTCGCAGTTATTTGGCAGCAAAAGAATGGTGGGCGGTTTTGGAGAGGGTTTGTGGTAGCAAAATCGGTCAATTTCTAAAACCGTTCCTCGAGCATCCCGACCTTCCGAAGCATTGAATCAACTGCTTCTCGTTGAGGGCTTGTCATAAGGCATGAAAAATGAAATATTTTAGAAGCTGAAGGCAATGCTAAGAAAAGACTATAGTGATATGAAAGCTTTTGCAGATGATAAACCAAGCCGCACCGTTCGCATTAACTTCAAGGTGTCTGGGCGGATAACCAAGTTAAGTGGAGTTTGTCTTGGCTCACTATTGTATATATAAGCTCGTCTATTCCTCTGAGGAAGAAAATCAATCAAGACCTCTGAAACATAACAAAGAAAAGTTCTAAAACATTGGTCGATCTAATAAACATGACTACACCATGATTCTTTGCTGCAATCTGATTCGAGAGACTTTGTTTAATCCGATAAGCATAATCAGTGTTTAAATAGCTCTCGTTGACGTATTCACCATTAGATTACTCAGATCAGGTAATCTTCAAGTTTCCGGAGCGCCGCATGAATCTCCAGAACGTCGAGTCTCCAGGAACTGATATCATGGTCCTATGTCACAACACACAGGGGTATGCCTAGCCACATTTCATGACACAGATCTATTTCACTATAAATGTCTATTCCAAGGTTTGTGCGACGATCGTTCAGAAAAACTCCCAAGGTCCTTCATCCGTGTCTGGACATCTATCTTTGCTGCATAAATCATTCACCTTTGTGCTTTACCATGGAACCATTTATGCATAAGCCAATCTCTCTAGCGAAAAGCCTCGGCATTCTGACGAGGGAAGAATTTAACTTCATCTAACTCGAGCTTTCTCTCAAGAGACTCTAGCTACAAAACATTAGTTTTGAAGTTTAATGGGTGATAAAATGCAAAATTAGATCATACTGATGCGGTAGTGTCATAAAGCGGGGTGCTGGGAAAGGAAGTGTGTGTGACTTGGGGGGTAGTCTGTTTTCGAATTCCACTGTAAATGGTAATCATTTACTTTCGTATGTCAACAGAATGTAATTATGCAGTCACGATATGATATTTTATGAGATAGAAAAAATTGAAACTGAATGAATGTGCCACCAAAACCATGAAACCATAAGCTACTAAACCCGATTGGGTCAGGATCGGTCCCACCCTGTTGTCTTCGATGTATCTCTAGTAGATTACCAAAATTGCCGTAAATACAGGTTCCGGCATTGCGCAGATGATACTTACCGAAGGAAGCGCCCTAGAGTGGAAATTCGAAGATAGACACATTTCCAGGCACTTATTGTTTGTTTGTAGGCCGTGACATACCCCCCTCCCTTCTGTGAACAGTTTTTATTTGTCCGTATACTATTTCAACGATATTAGATGACAGCGTTCGATGAGTCATTGTAAGATGGTGTAATCTTCTGTTGGATACATGCGGATCAAGTCATCTGACATCAACCCCGCCCAAAACCTGGCTTTCTTTCTCTCCTTCTCGTCTTCTCTTTTGTCTTTCTTCTCTATTTATGAATAACAATACTACCACTTTCGACTACTTTTGCCCCCTGCTCTATATTGACCGCCAACGGCAATAAAGCATCGCCAGATTCAAAATGGAGACCCTGACAGATGCTCTTGCAAACACTCACTTGAGTGGGCGATCTGAACAATTGGAACAATTACTTTTTAGACCCCAAGAAGGTAGTGGGTTGGTGCCGAATGCTTTAGATAATGTTCCTCACTACTTGTTTCGGGTCGTCTCCCCAAATTCCGTCGGAACAACAAATGAAACGTGGGTGCATTCAGAGTCGGCATCTCAGAATCAGGGCTCTTCTATGGAAGACGTGTTTTTCAATTTGAATAGCGAGAAACGGATCACCATAGCCCGAACACTCAACTTGCATCTCCAATGGTGGCCAAAGGATGGCACTTGGGACAATTTCGTCTCATGGACTAGCTCCTTGCTCTTCGCAATTCAGTACATCTACTACCGGCACTTGAGCCCCAGGGATGGATCAGATTTACAGCAGATCAAGTTGTATGCGATAGATACGACACAGTTTCCTAAAGGCACATTTCTTTGCGATTTGGATCTGATTGATACTTTTTGGGAATCCGACGATCACCCATACAGAAAAAACCTAGAGAGCTTACGATACCTTCGCAACGAAACTCAAAATTACTTTGGTGAATATCTTTCTCAAGGATCGCTGAAGATTGAGGGCAAATGCGAAGTAATCTGCGCCCAGTCCCTCTTTGAACATGATCGATTACGTCGCCTGCAACCTCATTTTCGTGAATTCCAGGATCTTCCATTTAATAAAGGAAGACCGATCTGGCCACAAGAGGTCCTCCGTCTTCGTGGGAGTATCTGGCAACCAGCTGATCTACATACCCCATCTTCAGCCGATTTGGAGGACCGTTTAAAGGCCGTCAAAGAGATTGTACAAAATCTTGAACCACGCTGGAGATTGCCTCTTGCTATATACTTCACATCACTTATTGGCCAAGTATCCTTTATCGAAAAAAGAGGTGCGGCAATTCATAACATCTTCTTCGAGGTTTTGCAATCTACCTTTCCTGACGGTATGTCTACAACCAATTCTTTATTATGTAAGGCGACAATATATAACCACGAATACTAACAAGTTCTGAAAGAACAACGAGCGTTGCGTCCTTTCGACGTTAAAATCATCGCCCCAGATACAATGCCTGAATTGAAGCAAGTGATAAGACTTGTTCATGAAATGTACAAGTACCATGCATTGGGAAATGCGCTAGGTTAGTGCGATCGCCAGACATTACGCTCTGGAACTGTTTGTACCCTATTAACAGGAAGTCTAGATCGAGTTGCAACAGCCGAAGCAAGTATTCGTGGCATACATTTTGACAATGTGTTCTCAGAGGATGAGGATGCCTTTGCTTTGGCCGATCGAAATGAGCTACTAGATCGAACAGGCCAAAGTCTTTCAGCGAAGCTCCGCTCAGTACAGTACCTGTGTGAAAAAGTTATCTCGGCTATTTCATGAAGTACGGTAGAGAGAGCTAATTTATCATTTCTTTCTTTCCCAGCCATCTTAAGTGACAGCATAATATAGCTAGTGTTCGTTGGTTTAATCTTTCAGTGATATACCACTTACTATATATGGGTTTGTGGAGCTTAATGAGTGGATACCACTGTAAAATGTTTTATTATGGTACAGAGATAGGCATGTGGCTTGTTTGTGTAACACTAATGGGGTATTTCACGCAACTCTTTCTTATTTCTCTCTGGAACTTCATGAGGATAGACTCATCTACACTTTAAATATGGTGTTTCAGTAAACGTGATCAGCCCGATTCCGGAACCTGGATTCACGACAATTTTGGTAATCTACTAGAGATACATCGAAGACAACAGGGTGGGACCGATCCTGACCCAATCAGGTTTAGTGTCATAAAGTGGGGTGCTGGGAAAGGAAGCGTGTGTGACTTGGGGGATAATCTGTTTTCGAATTCCACTGTAAGCGGTGAGAAAGAATATCCCTCGCATGAACGGCCTCCCGCATGAACGGCCTCCCGCATCGGGGTCTCTGCATTCCCAGGCCGATAAAAGTGCTAAAGCATTTACAATTGGCCTGGTGTTTCTTTTCATGGTCTATTCATGTGAATATTCAAGTAGGTTTAGAACCCTTGACTTGAACCTTGAATTTGTGCGAGGGGGCTTTAGCCTACAATAGCAGGGAATGCAGAGCGTATTAAGCAGAACTTGGACTACTATAAAACGTGCCTACATGCTATAACCGTGAGAAAAGAAATCATACGAACAAGCTTCTCCATATAAACCAGAAGTCTCTGCCAATCCCGATATTCCGAAAACTATTTGTTCCAAGGCATGTCTTTAGAGTCAAGCTCATACATATTCCACCATGTCTTCCTTCCTCCTCGGACCCCGCAGGAAGATGATCATAATTTTGAGCACGAGCGGTTCCTTCTGGACACTGTTATTGAAGCCCTGAGTAGGTTTCGGAACTTTTTCCCGACCGACCAATGTGGTATTTTCAATGAGATCATCACAATGACCATTCGTCTGAGACCTACCTGTGCTCTAGACGGCGATGGGAGTGAGATCGAAGTTACTCAGCTCCTGTATGATTTGAAAGATAAAGGTGAGTGGTGAGTCTTCCCGATCATTTTTGACATTCTGACCACAGTCAGGTGGTTTCTTACCTATCTTTGTCCGAGAACAAAATGCGGGGATTTTTCTGAGTAAATACGACAATAAGATTCAAGTGGAGTCTTTTGAACTATCGCCCCGCAACGAATCTGTGACGAGCACTGTGGGACGTCTTGTTCGTGGTTTTCCTGGTCCAGCGATGACATTGGATTTGGCAGCTTTCAATGAGCCAGGCCTACTGGAAACACTCTCCCAGACACTTGTACGCATGGGCCACCAACCTGCTGCAGATACGAAACCCAAAGTAAGCAAGGCCCAACAAGAGCACGACGAGGACAGAGACACCACCCATCCCATGATGGTCACGGAATTGCTTATGTCGACACTTCGTCCACTATCTGCGGATGCCAAAGCCACTCAAATCCGGAAGAATACTCGCGAAGAAGTCATGTGGCGTGACAGTCGATCGCCCTGGAGACGATCCGCGTTATGGCTCTTTGTGAGGGTAACCCTCCAACTGCTTTTCCGCAGGTTATCCGATGAGGCTAGGTTGGATGATCTATACAAACAGTTCATGGTTTTCTTCATGAGCTTTGTTGTAGATAAGGCTTCGGTCGGCCTGTCCAGCGAGGCAATCTACTGCATGAATGCTAAGATTGTTCGTCGACTGTTAAAACTCAACTTGTCAGGAGAGCCGCCCTGGTTTTCTCCCGTTCGAGATATCTTGAAGCGGTCTTATGAGCAAATCCAAGGCAGATGGACAGAGATCAGGAGGAAGAACTCTCGTAGCATCGACACATCTTCCCTTTCGACATTAGACTTTCGTCATGACATCCAGTGTGCGATCCCTGATCTTGATCTGTACCTGAAAGGAATCGGGCGACGAGGCCATGATGATACACTGAGAGAAATGTTCAATCCAGCATCTCAGCTTCCCAAATATAAATGCAACAAACTGCCAGATTGTTTGGAATTTCCCGAGGGCGACTATCAGCGATACAACCTTGCCGCCTTCGAGGATTGGGTCGCTGTTCATCTCAATGGATGGATAGAGGATCATATGAGAGACCAGGCATCCTGCAGTCAGCTGGGCCGGTTGATGATGCGATATCATGAAGCGGCATCCTCGTCATACGTTCAAAATCCTGAAGCTATATCAGTCATGCTTCTTACTCTTCTCGAGCTGTGGATTGCATGCGACAAATCCGCCATCCAATGTCATCATGAGTTGGGGAAGTACGACGCTTGCATACCTGTGGATTGTTTTCAATCACTTTTGCTACCATTCAAATCACAGATGACGAGGCTAGCTCAGGCAGAATCATATCTGAGTCAACGACAACGCAATCATAGATATCATGGGTCCGGAATCTTTCACGACTACGGTACTCGGAACTGCTTTTCCGTCCGGTATTTTGACCAGTCTGACGAACACCAAAGACTACTTAAAACCATTGAAGATCACGCAACCCAGAAGAGAACAGAGAAAAAGGCGGAGCTGCAAGAGAAACAGCAAAAGTACAGGCATCTCATGAACTTGGCGTCTCAAACAGTGTGCCAGCAAGAGGAAGTGATTCTGGATGCGAGATCCGGATTCCGAGAGTCTCGTCATAGCCATTCCTGTCCTTGTCGTCGATACAAAAGGGAGGCAAAATCAATTGAAATCAGTGTTCACGAGTGGCCATTGCCGACTGTCCAGCGACAAGCCAAGTCCACTGTGTTCGAACTCCAGGTACCCAAGCCATTTGGGAGCTGGCGAGACACAACTTTGTTTTTTCTGTACAACTGTCTGGGGGTTCAATATGTGAAAACATCGAGTCCACGAGCAGAGCATCGCCTGCAGACATATTCAGGCCTCTCATCATTCTTCAAGTCCCATGGCCAGCATTCGCGAATTGGTCTTCTCTCGCAGAACAAGCCCCACAAACGAACTCACCGGCGGGACAGGTTGATAGTCAATGTGACCGAGACAGACATTTGTCTAAATAATGGTCTAAGCTTTCAATACTATGATGATACCGTTCAATGCTATGTGAGCGCGTTTGAAAGGACCCTTCGAACCGCAAGGTCCTGCGTGTATACCCTCCCGCAACAAAGCTCCGCGCTTCAGCAATTCATCTTCCGACCTGCCCAAGAGCCACATGGCCCTGCACCAAATGAAGTGATAGCAACACAATCTGCTGCGCCTGCAAACATTTCGATGGAAGAATACAAAGCACTTGCATCAATGCCCCTTGGGCTGGAGATACAGTGGCAAAATATTCTCGTGGAGTTAGCTGCGCCATCAGTGGATATAAAGAAGGTCGAAACAGCAATCTTCGTCTTCCAAATAATCAACCAAACAGGCCCGTCGGAGCCGACGACGTGCTTACGACAAGGCCATGCGATCCTGGGCGACCGGGCGTTTGTGGTTGCAATGCTGTCTCGTGTCAAGGAAGTGACCGAAAGAATCAAGGAGAACTGGGAAATGATCCATGCGCTGAATATTCTTGCTCGACTTGTTCTGAGGATTCTATCCCTGTCGCCTGTGCAAGAAATCCATGATGTCTGCCTTCATTGCCTGACAACAGTACGCCAGGTGGCTTTTCATTGGGTCAATACCGTTAGAAGAAAGGCGAGTGAGACGGTCGACGACGCACAAAAGACCAGACTGATTGAGAGAAGTGTGCACATTGCATTGATTTGTGTGGAGACCTTCGACGCAGAGGACCTTGCCCAAGTGTTTGCAACTTCATCGGATATTTCGGTCTTTCTTCAGTGCGGTACGGTTATCTGGAATGGGCGGCGCTCTGTTTCCACCGAAGTAGGCTCATTGGTTCCTATTCTTTACTACCGATGGCAAGTTCTGAGTTATCGAAGCCACTCATTCCTAGGGGAGCTTATTGTTCGACATAAGAATCCAGGGATGGACTTGACGATCCACGAAGCGTGGGCCGCATACAGCGAGGTATCAGTGTGGTCAGAAGAGCCCAATGTGAGGTATTGGCTATTCACAAAACTCGACAGTCAGTCGACAGCTGGTGCACATACGTTCGTGCATTACAATCTGTTGACCGGAGAATTGCTCGTGAACGGACTCCCACTCACACGCCTGCCTTCGGAATATGAATCCTACGGAGCATACCGAAGACTCTTTGGGAAATCACAACTAGATGTGATGCCGAGCAGCTCACCTGGGATGCAATTTTCATGTCAAACCAAATATCGGGATCACACAGTGCACCTGGGGAAAGGGATTGTTCCTGGGTCCAAGGAGTACGACTTGTCGGTCCAGGCGGTGAGAGACGGTCGAGTATGGGAATACGTCCCGAGCAGGCTTCTGGCTAGGATTTTCCCAGACGCCTTTGTTACAAGTTATGTACACTGGTACGATGTGGAGGGTGACTATGTGGAGTTCAGGTCCGCCGAAAAGCCTTGGTCTTCGGACGGTCAACATTGGCGATTAACGAGAGCCAACTCTCACATTGGCTGGCGCCTTGAGAAAAATGGAATTTTCTTACTCAGTGCCGCTAGCCAGACGGCGAGCGTGATATCCAACATCTTCCAGCCAGTCGAAAAACCTCTGAAAATCCATTTGATGCTCCATGATGCCTCGTCGGTCCTGTGGATCAAGTTACCGCGCCTGTGTTTAGAATTCTCTCTCCAACCTCGGTCCTCTTCAATCCGATCTCGGCAATATCTCGGTATGTCAGTTGACAATGATCAGTCGCTTGATTCATTGATCGGCCAAAGCAGTAAGATCATTCTGGCAGATCTCACCTCGTGCAACCGCCTAGTTCTCATACCTGAAGGGCGAGTCTCTTATGCAAAAGCCCAGGACCATGTTTGCGTGGAGGTCGATTGGCAATCCAAGACTACACTCCACGCATACCCGATCGACGAGCAACTGGGTCGGCTTGCAGACAATGGTACATTGCAGAGCAAGCTGTTTCTGTGCTACTTGCACGCTCTCACATCATCTTGTTTGCCCGATCCGCTCACCAAGAAAACCGGGACCGAGCAGGCGCTCTTCATTCTCCGCTCTGCGTCTGTCAGGTCGTTTGATCGACTTCAGCCCGAACAGATAGCGCTCTTGTCAAATATCGCGTCCCTTTCTCCTGCAAGAGCGTATTATCCTGCGAATGAACGAGTGATGCAGAGCGTTTGTTGGCGGGATGGTCTCGGCAGCCTGTCCCAGCACCAGGGCTTTCGAGAAGAGGTCAATGCCATTTTTGATCAAGATCGCCGTACAAGCTTTTTCTACCCAGGTGCCAAGCTTGATTATCCCCCACTCCCGCACGTGGAGCCGGAGCTCCTGTTGCGCGATCGAATCCGCACATCATCATTCCGGGTCTCCGGTTTCGGTGCCGAAGATCACACGGACAAGTATGATCATCTTTACGAAGGCCTCGATGCCAGTCGCATCACTCCTGCTGGCATTCGCAGCTTCGCAATATGCAAGATGCTCTACGACGGGATCCCACGAATCCAGTCACAGGTCGCAGAAAAACTGACCTCTCAACTCTGGCGGGTTCTCTCGTCTCCTAGCAGAGTGTACGGTCCGAGTACTCACCTTGATATAAAAAGGCTACGATACGATTCCGAATGGATTATGGGCTCAACGGAGTTCATTGCCAGTTACTGGTGCTGCATACACCAGCTTGTGTGCTCCCGCCGCGACGGTCTCAATAAATTCCAACTTATGGCCTGGCTCTCAACTATCGCTTTTTCAGGCAAAACCGAAATGGTGGTGCTGGAAATCATTGCTTTTCTCTTTCTTGTGCCAGAAGCCGCTTTCATCTCTCCGCCCGCGCGTGAGCTTTTTTTGCCATCAGAGGGGTATGAGATGGATGGAAAAGAGGCTCTCAGCTGGATCAAAAAAGCAGAGTTTGATTACACTCCGGAATCGAACCTTGTTCCCGTAACGAATGAGACATATCCAGACTTCACCCTCCGTCGAAAAACGCTTCGGCAAAAGAATCGGTCACTGGTCTGCGAAAGGATATTACTTCATTTCGCCAGCGAATGGCCCACCAGATCACCCTCATACCCCACCGCCCAAGGGTCTCCGAGAATTTGTGACTACTTGGATTTGCGTCAAACCTGGAGTCAATTTTCGATGGGTTTTAATACCTGGATGGATAATGAAGAGTTGAGACAATGGATTACCGGACTCACAACTTTGTTCTGCAATCAGCGAAGTCAGGATGTCAAATTCCCCCGTATCATCCGCCTTCTGATGCACTCCATACAAATTCCCATTGCGGGTTCGTGTGCTTCGATGATTGCCTTCAATCTCTACCGGATCTTGACAACGACGAACCAGACTTACAGAGCTTTCATCTCACATCTTCACTCATGGCCGAATGCCCTCCTGACTTAGCTAAACTGGTCGACTCTTTATCCATGATAGCGACGTCCAAATATGAAAAATGGTACGTTGCGCAACTTCAGAGTAGTGTCGCCTCCATGAAAGGTGTGCAACAAAGTGGCCGATTGGAATTGAGCCCCGACGCGTGCAAAAAGGTGATTTTGGAGTATCTTGTCTCATGCGAGGACTATGCCTACCGGATTCATTCTTCTCTCATGTCTCAACTAACCCTTTCCGCTCGATGGACTCATTCGGCGGACTCGAGGGATCTGTTTCGTGCGCAGGTGGTCGCCTTAGCTTTCGAACTTCAACAATGCCCCAGATTGTCCCCTCTCCTCCTACTAGCACAGCTATCACGTCACCGATGGAAATGCTTGGACGCTGGTTGGAAAAGATGTTTCGTTCGTTACGGATGTTCTATTACAACGCTTCAGCGGGCAAGTCGCCTCGCTAGAACTATCGACACACGGGATGAATTTCTGAAGGAGCTTCAATCATCAGGTCATACCAACTGGGACCCTTACGAATTTCCAGAGACTCTGTTAATGGAGATTGAGAACGGAATTCTCGTTCGGGACGTCCAGGAAAGTATTGCACGAAGGATGAGAAATTTCCCCCGGGGAGAGAACGCGGTCATGCAGTTGAATATGGGTGAAGGCAAATCCTCGGTAGTCGTTCCTATCGTGGTGACGGCCTATGCGAATGGGTCGAATCTGGCACGGGTGCTTGTGGCTAAACCACAATCACGACAGATGTTTCAAATGTTAGTCGCAAAGCTAGGCGGCCTCTTGGGTCGGCGTGTCTATCACATGCCCGTTTCGCGCTCGTTGAAGTTGGGCGAAGCCCAAGCAGATGAGATTCAGCGCATGTGCGCTGAGTGTATATCCCTCGGCGGGGTGTTACTTGTTCAGCCCGAACACATTCTCTCCCTGAAGCTGATGTGCCTTGAGTGTTTTATTGTTGGCAAAACCGCCGTAGGCCGTTCTCTTTTTCAAATCCTGCAACTTTTCCACGAATCTTCGCGTGACATCGTGGACGAGAGTGATGAGAATTTCAACGTCAAGTTCGAGCTGATCTACACCATGGGCGCTCAACGCCCGGTTGAACTGGGCCCGCAACGATGGATGGTGATCCAAGAGGCTCTGCATTTGGTGAGGCGATATGCTACGCATGTGAAGGCTCAGTTCCCTCATTCTATTGAAGTCAGTGAACACCGGCGTGGTGAATTTCCAAGAATACGTTTGCTCGATCGCGATGCTGAAGAGGCTCTCCTCGCATACGTCGGGACGTATATATGTGAAAATGGAATAGGTTCCCTGCCGATCTCGAGGCAGACTAATCCTGTGAGAGAGGCCATTCTAACCTACATCATGAAGGCTGTTCCTGCGGACCATGAGGTCGCAGCCGTGGAGCGTGAGGATCCAACCGGCATTTGGGGGAGAGTACCCGGAGTTCCCTCCTTTTGATACGGGGCTTGCTTGCTGGGGGGGTCTTGGCCTTTTGCTTGGGTCAAAAGCGATGGCGGGTAGACTATGGGCCTGATTCGAATCGAGATCCGCCGACAAGGCTTTCAGTACCGTACCGGGCCAAAGACAGCCCTTCTCTTCGCTCGGAATTCAGTCACCCGGACGTCGTCATCCTGTTGACGTGCCTGAACTACTACTATTCTGGGCTCCAGGATGATGATATATTCCTTGCATTCGCTCACCTGGTCAATTCAGATCAGGCTGATGCGGAGTACCAGATTTGGGTGAACGATGCACCGATGCTTTCACCTGCTTACCACCAGTTGGTGGGCGTGAACTTGGACGATCGACATCATTGTGCTGAGCACATATTTCCTGCCCTTCGCTTTGCAAAAGCCGCGGTGGACTACTTTTTGTCGCACATTGTTTTCCCGAAAGAGATGAAAGAATTTCCCGACAAGCTATCCGCCTCTGGCTGGGATATTGGGGAAATCAAGTCAAACCCCACTATTGGATTCAGCGGAACGAATGACTCGCGACAAACTCTGCCACTGGGGGTCACTCAACTCGATTTACCTGAACAAAACCACACGAATGCTTTAGTACTGGATTTTTTGTTACGACAAGAGAATTCTGTGGCTTTCATTCCCCAGCCAAGTGGCCCCAGATCAGATGCTCATGTCCTGTTGGACTTAGTGCTGAACTTGCATCCACCGGCTCAGGTTATACTTGACGTGGGTGCACAGATTTTGGAGCTCAGTAACCATGACATGGCAAAGGCCTGGTTGAGCCGGACTCCGGTAGAAGGGCCAATCCAGGCTGTCGTGTTTGTGAACGACCAAGATGATATCTGCGTCCTTGATCGAAACGGTCGAGTGGAATCCCTCCAAATCTCTCCCTTTGCACGGCAAATGGGAGCATGTTTGGTGTTCCTGGACGAGGCCCACACCAGAGGAATCGATCTCAAGCTTCCGGTCCACTACCGTGCGGCGGTCACATTGGGCCCGGGCATCACAAAGGATAAGTTGGTTCAAGGTATGGGTTCGACATCCGACATGATCACAAGTCAAAGTTTAACAGTTTTGCAGCGTGCATGAGAATGCGACAGTTAGGCAACGGACAGTCCGTCGTCTTTTGCATCCCAAATGAGGTCGACCGTAGTATCCGGGTCTTGCGTGGCAAGCATGAAGGATCGCCCATCAGTGTTTCAGATGTCCTTATCTGGTCCATTTCTGAAACTTGGGCGAACATGAGGCGCAGTGTTCCTCTTTGGGCTGTTCAGGGTACTCGTTTTGAGCGCCAACAAGAACTATGGCGATCTCCTCATCACAGGGACGCCGCCGAAATGACGTCGATCCAAGCACAAAGGTTCCTTGATCCCGAATGCCAGACTATAGAGCAACGATATCGACCTGGTCATCAAGAGAGGTTGCCATCCCACTCCCCTCACGATACAAATCTGAATTTGAATTTGATATGGGAGCGCTGTCAAAAGTTCGAATGTCTCGATACTGGATCATCCACCCTACAAGAAGAACAGGAGCGCGAGCTCGCTCCAGAGATTGAAATCGAGCGTCAGGTCCAGAGACCTCCACCAGCGTCACCCGAAGCACACCGAATCCATCCACATATATCTTCTTTCATAGCCACGGGCGTGCTTTCAAGACCTTCCGAAGCCTATCAGCCGGCATTTTACTCACTACGGAGAACCTCCGCGGCCTCCTTTCTTGACCTCTCTCAATTTCCCTCCAGTCTTCTGGCCACGAGGGACTTTTCCACGACTATCAAAATCCCGGTTGGGTCAACGTTTGTTGCCGACGCGTTCCAACGACCTGTCAGGTGGATTCTGAGAAGTAATCATCGTGTCTCTCGGGATAGAACGATTGCGATGCAAATGATGATCATCAGTCCCTATGAAGCCAATTTTTTGATGCCCGAGATACGGAAATCAGATCATGTTTCGCTTCATCTCTATGCACCACGCCAAAATCAAAGCTTTCTTCCATTGGATAGACTCACGTTATACACTGTCCCTCAAAACGCTGACGAGATCGAAGCTCCTGATTTACTTCGCATCCAGCTCAACCTCTTCTCTGGACAACTGTATCTTGGTTCCCACTCCGAGTACAAGGACCTCTGTGAGTTTCTAGGGGTGGCATATTTCAAAACACCACCGGGGTTGGTGGTTGCCGCGGATGGTTTCATCCAAGGCGGCAATCAAGGGCGGGGACAAGGTTTCAGTGAAAGCCCGATCCAGTTCCTCAAAATTTTGACGTCGCAGATCAGAAAGGATTGCCAGGATATTGGACGAACACATATCGGCCACATTCTCAATGGCCGATTGTTGTTTCCATCTGACTTCATCGAATCAGCGAGATCGTCCGTCGAGGCCAATTTTCACAAACTGACCATTTAATCACTGGTCCGTGGATGGTTTTGATCACAATGTATCTGAACCGTCAACTTACTCGCAATGCAGATTGTCCTTACTCAGAGCGCTCACTTATTTTATGCAAATCGTAAATTCCCAAAAGGCTTCATTGTTGTGTATCTACCCCAATTGTTTCGAGGACCTTGTTTACTATAATATTCACGGGTCTGTAAATATGGTGAGGAGAGCTGCCCACATTTTCTCGGCACTGTTTTTTCCCGGTGTGAGTAAGGTATTACGATATTAACCTCCTAAATTCATCTGGTATGTGCCCTGATCTACGCCCTCGCGTCACTTCTCGGGTACTGCTGAGTATTGCGGCAAGCATCCTTTGCAAACAATGAGCCGTAAAATCTAAGCCATGCATGTAAACAATTCAGTAGATTAAGAGGTTCCCATCTGGGAAACATGATTCGAGATTGTTTGTCGCTACACTGATTTGCTGGAATGAACAGAACCCTGTGTCATCGGGCTATCCTACGGTAGCACCCGGTATTGCCTTCCACGTTCTAAACAGAGATTCGAACCCCTGATCACATGGCACAGGGATACGCCTTGTATCTAATTGTAACACAAACAGTCTGTTTTTACGTCAATCCTAAGTAAAAACCCTGGAAACATCTGCCCAAACGCAAAGAAAAGCACAATACAACCAGCCTCAAGCTGACAGAATGTTAGTCTTGACTTCTGCATGCCGGAGCTGCTTTATCGCAGCATGTGGTGCTTCCCTGGGGCCTGTTTAGCGTCGAAACGATAGGCAAAACTCAACTATTAGTGAAAGATCGAAGTGCCTTTCGATCCTTACTGTTATGTTATGGTTCCGCGGTTTATTGGATATTAGATATACTAGCTAGCGTCTTTGGGTGTTTGTCAAATTAAACTCCTTCGCACATACCTGCTGGGATATCTTATTTTTTGACAGCAAACCGCGCAGGTTACAGTACATATGGATGTGTGGGTGTGTGTGTGGGTGTGTGTGTGCTTCATTTGCCCTGACCCCTCCCAATGAAAAATGATATGCAGACTACCTCATCTATTTATTGTATCTGTCAGCTCCTTCTACTCACCCATAAATTTGCACGTTGACTTGTGACAGATTTTGTGTATCACTCGCAACGATAGGGGCTTCCAGTGTTTGTATGAACTTTGAGAAAATAGCGTCACGCCTGAGTCAGCAATTGAGGGTCTCTATGCCTAGCTTCATAACAATATGTCTTGACATCTAGCTCAAAAGGCTCGTACAGATTATGTGAAAACGCAGCAGGAAAGCAACACTTCCGTGTTGTGCTGTATAGGCTGGAAAAGCGTTCATTGGCGGAAGCGTATTGTTGGGGTTTCTCAACGTACACAGCATCGTCCCTATTTTAACGATATATCAAACCTTTGAGGTACAGTAGAGGACAGGTTCGGCTTCTACAATGATCACACTCTTTCACTCTCTCTTGACGCTATATCCGGGAGCTATTCCATTTTGAGTCTAGGCCTTTAATTATGTGTCTTATCCGTCATACGGGACAGCAGGATACCCGGATTTTTCTATCAGAATTATTCCGTAAATACGCTCAATTTCCAGAAAAGTCGATGCAGCAAAAAAATGTGCCAAGGGAGTCTTGCAAGGTCGAGTTCGCTTCCCTCTTCCATGCCAACCCATTGAATAGGTGCAATAATCAGGTCTTGTCTTAAATTCCAAGAGCACCTTTTTGCCGTCTCTTTCGGGACAGAACTTGCCACTCGGCTGATACGATACTGGGCCTGACTCCCGTGCGCCACAAATCGCACATTAGTATGCGCAACGCCCTGATTGAGAAATGAAGCACCTTTCCCCTCATTTTTGGCTGAGCTGAGCTTCCTGCCTTTTTCCATTATCGTACGCTCCATCGAGAGCATCTCTTTTGCTGCTTGCGAACAGCTGGATCGACCCGCGCATCTCTGAGTGTGCATATATATTCCCCTCTTCACTGGGTACCATGTTGAGGTTTTGTAAAATGATATACCGCGGTCGCATAGAGACGAGACTGTCACCGAATCGCTTTGATTACTCGAATGAAGCACGCTAGCTATGTCCACCCCACAACTCTGGTGCGGCAGCAAATCCTCAACTATGCTCCTAGGACCCAGAGGAATTTGGGCTTGGCACGACCAATAGCGCATCGTGCGTGATTTCGTTCCTCTGATGCGTGTTTGGGACCCTTCGTGGCCTAGAATGTCGTGCGGGCGCTGGGCAATTCGTACTAAAAGTAAAGTCTGCCTTGCGCTGTCCTAGATCGGGCTGCTCAGCCTCAAGGCTTACACTCGTGGAATTAGCAATCCGCAGGCTGCGCATGAACATAGACGTAAATCCTAGACCAAGATAGAAGGCGCAGTATAGACGCAAAGTCCTGCAAAATTGGAAACCGGAGAGACCACTGTGGCCTAGAAAAGATTAGGAGGCTGTACTGCCAAGGACTGACCGTCCTTCAGGAACCAGGTGAACTCGGATGGTGGGTCTCTAGACAGCCTAATGGGTTACCAGGCTACTTCTCCTGTAGGTCGTTGTCCCTGTAAATCCCTCAATGATATCGCGTTAATCACTCCATGGCTATAAAACACCGCCTTTCCCTCCATGGCTTCTTAATCATCGCTCTCTATCACTACATTGCTCTTTGAATTTCGTCATCATTCCCTCATCTGTTCTCAAAGCTGCTGTCAGCCGCCCGCCTACCATGTCCACCATTTCTTCCTCACCGACGGAGAAAAAAGGCGCGCAGAAAAAAGGCACAATGGGGTTGATACCCGTCCTGGTCAATGGCCAACCCTACATGCTCATGCATGAACGAACTAGAAAGACGATCAAAGATGGGGTGAAAATCTATGGCGGACCACGTAAGGCTTTTTCCTGTGCGAGGAGCTACATGCTGACTATCACCACAGACAGCCTAGCTGGCCCAGGCGGCGCCGCCGATGCAGGTGAAACCCCAGATGATGCGATCATCCGCGAGACTCAAGAAGAGTACGGACTAGAGGTCACAATTGTTCCCGTTCAAGGCAAGAAGGTATTTGCCAAGACCAACAATTGTCTGTCGAACGGATCCTTCTGGTGCTGCAACTTTTACCTTCTCGAGTTGAATGATAAAAAGCAAGTTCCTCAGGTATGCCACTCATTCACTGTCCCGCGGAGCTTTATCGCTCCTACCGGTTCCTGCAGATGCTGGTGGTGGCCGGAGAAGTCATCTTTTGTGCTTTGTCCGCCTCCGAGAGAGCCCTTGCGCTGATACCCGCCTACAGATCCCGCAGCAGGAACAAAAGAAAGCCACCCGCTTGGTAGCGGTGCCGTCTTATGCCTTGCAGTATTTAGGTGAAGTGATTAGTGTGAACGATGACGCGAATAAGGGTGGTGATGCGAATGAGGATCGCATCGAGGTCAAACTTAAAACAGACACCGTGTATTTCTTTGAGTCGTTGAAAAACCTAGCTAGGGTCCATCGGGAACTTTGCATGGATGAGCTCTCAGGATTCTGGGATATTGTCTCGGAAATACCAGAATACCAAGCTGATGAGCTTATTGGGCACGGTATCGATATAATTGAATAAAGCGCAAAGGTACCTAAGCCATAAGCTCCTTACTGGTTAGTGGGGGCGTTGCACCCAGGCTGAGTTACGTAGGAGCATATGTAGCTTTTGGGCCATTGAAAATGGTAGTTACTTAACTAACTAGACTAGTTCGAGAGCTGTCTCTCTCTCTCTCTCTCTCTCTTTCTTCTTTTCTTCTCGTCTCTCACAATATATGATCTATCGTGCGTCCTCTACAGTTTCTCTATCAACTGGAGATCGTCGTTTGGGTAGCGATCAACTTGGTATGGAATTCTATATTTCTTTTATTAATTATGTGCTTCAGATTGATTCACTCGCTTGCGTGATTAGCCCACTTCCTATATATTTTAAAAGATCTGGGAAAATAGGGAAAGTAAAGAACTTAGTCTTGGGAGAGGATGAAATAAACTCATGCAGATCCATCGCAATCTTCCAATATGCCCAGCTAGTAAAGGTGAGACACAGTGGCGGTGCTCATGTTTACCACTCTATATGGTTCTGGAACGTGTTGGAATCTCGTAGAATATATGCTGTTAGATATTGAGAGACTACGAGTAATGTCAGATCGGGGGTCTACGATGTGAGTAGATCAGGAAAAAGCAGTCTTTGTATGATGAAGTCGATGGAGCAGATCACCTGACTTACGAAAGGTGGGTATAAAATAGTAAAATCCATACATCCACACATCCACAAAACCTAGTCCAGTTCATATTTATTTAGGTCTCTTCGTTCTGCCGTTCGAGCACAGCAAAACTATCGTCTATGTTCATTCCATTCAACTTTGTTGATTCTTTATCTTTGTTAAGGTGTGATTTTCGACATATCTGCTATTGGTATAATTCCTGATACATACTTGGGCTTTTCCAAGGCATTCACGCTTCTAGCTGGGTCACTTTGGAGTCGAAGTCTGGCATGATGTTGCGAGCTTTGCATGGTGCCTCGCGAGCAATTTGTTTCACTATAATACTGGTCCTTCTTGTCCTTCAGACGAGGAACATATTATGCGATCGATTTCAAACAATGAGGGTTGATCGCGAGGATCCCAATCACTGTAGAAGCAAAGATTTGGTGGATTGGTCCCGTTTTGCATACTCGCAATATGCCACCAACACTGCTTACCTGTGCAACTCTGTCATGATTTTCGAGACCTTACATCGTTTAAACAGCAGGGCTGATCGTTTCCTGATTTACCCGTCCAGGTTTTCGGCCGACGAGAATGATGACGGGGCAGAGAGTCGATTACTTCGTCAGGCCCGCGATGAATACAATGTGAAGCTAGTGCCCACACATATCCAAAGAAGACACGGAGGAGACCGTATGTCCTGTTTGATTCAATTTTGAGAAAGCTGATAAACTAACCCAGCCTTAGCCACCTGGTCGGAAAGCTTCACGAAACTTCTAGCTTTCAATCAAAC